ACCTCTCGTGGACTCGCTGGTGGATGCAAGGCATTGAGTTGTAGAGCAGAAAGGGCGCTTCTCAAATGAGTGGATCTGTAAGGACTAGAAAGGATTATTAGACCGACTAGATGAAGCCTATTCGTAATCTCCGCTAACACCCACTGACTGTAGCTCGGGTGAGGCAAACGATGAATTCTATGAGAAGTTGCCAACCTTGCAACAGAAAGCAAAATGTTCAGATATAGTCATAATGGCAGCTGACTTTAACACTCACATAGGAAAGCTGAGTCAATCGAAGAGTCATCTGAAAGGTATCTACGGAATTCCATGCCAACGAACCGACAACAGTGACCATCTGTTGCAATTTTATCCCGACAATCAATTGTTTCTGGCCAGTACAAACTTTAGGCATAAGGAGAGAGTCTCACATGGTGGCCGCTGATATCAAACCAACGATGGACCACATTGCTATAAGACATTTGGAGTACCAGTTTGGACTCCAATCACGCGCTAGTATGGGCTCATGTATGCGCAGGAGAGAGGCAGTAACAAAGCCTATCTATAGTCGACTGGAAGATGAGTAAGTCAAGTCTGAATTTAGGGAACGGAGAGTTAACCATTTATCTGCACATGATAGCAATCCTAATGCTGAGGAAACCTGGCGAGATATTACGTCTGCTGTAGAAACGGCGGTAAAGACAATTGGTAACCTATACCAAAAGGTTAGCGAACGTCATTAGATTTCCGCGACGCAATCCGAACTGATTGGACCGAGAAGACTGATTCCAGCTGACTCTAGCCACGCTGAAAAGCAAAAGCAATTTAAAGGTAAGTTAACCAAGAGTCATCGCGTCGATTACGAGCAGTGATGGGTAGCGAAAGCGAGAGAGATGGAGAAACCAGCAACTATTTATGCTTACTAGGGATACCAGCAAGAAAAAGACAATGGTGAGTGAAACCATTACCGAAGAGTTTGAGACGCTGATAACCTCTCAGGACAGGCGGCTAGAACGTTAGGAAGAATATTGAAGCAGAGTTCAACTAGCCCTCAGCAACGCTTCAGCTGCCCAACATCCAGCCTAAACCTAAATGGAACGTATATGTCGGTTCTGGAACTCTTCTTTAAGTTGAGAAGACTTCAACGAACCTGAAACGATGGAGAGCATTAGGACACGACAGTTTGTCATCTAAAGTTTCCAAGGATGGAGGTAGTAAATGGCTAATTAAAGTGATGCAGATACTGGGTAGTGTATGGGACTAGTGTAATTCAATAATCATCCAGTTCTCTAAAGAGGAGAAATCTTCTTGTAACAACCAAATGGGAATTAGTTTAACTAATACAGTATCGAAAATCCTAGAGACCATAATTATCCAACGCCTAACTTGAGCTCAACAACAGCAAACTCGAGAAAACCAGATACATTTCAGACCTGAACGAGGGTGCATCAATCATATTTTTACTTTCCGACAGGTTTCTGAAACACAGGCAGACCTGAAGACGTCATTCGGCAATATCTAACTGTGAAAGGAGCACATAGAGCAAGTATATAACGCTAGTCAAGGCTCTCTACTCTAACTCACACAACCGTTTCAGGGCTTATGGAGAGTGGTCTTCACAATCGATGACAACTAGTAGTGTCCATCAGGGATGCCCACTGTCAACGTTCTTATTCAATTTCGTCATTGATGTACTAATGAACATATCCTTAGGTACATCTGACTTCACAGGGATTGACCTGAAGGTCATCTGGTTAGTTTGGAGTATTGTCTTACTAGGTGAAGATACTGATAAGATGTACAGTCTTCTGAACACATTGAGCACAAATCTGTTTGTTTGGCGTGCACCTCGCTGGGGCCTGTAAAATGTATAATAATGATTAAGGACTGATCTGATGCAACGACTCTCACTTTAATGATAACGAGTAAAGTGGTAGAATGTTTCGATCACTTCACTTACTTTGGAAGCTGCATCAGCCTGAAGCGGTTGCAGGTGTTTGATCATACATGTCTTCATAGCATTGCTCGCGTTTGGTATAATCACTGTAGGAGCAACGTTGAAGTCAAGCAAAGCGTACTAAGCAAGTTGATTGATGAGATTGTGAACCTTAGTCGACTAGAATAGCTTGAACATGTACTGAGTATGCCAAGCCACCGCCTACTTCGATGTTCAATGCTGCCAGAAGTTAGATTAGGTTGGAAAAGGGTTCAGGGTGGACAAAGTAAGAAATGAAACCAGTTGGTAAAGTCTTCGACTGTTGATCTGAACCATATAAAGAGATGAAGACTATCCAGTTGGGGTTCCCGAGACGAAAGGAATCAGTAGTTGAGGAAACTTGATGACATGGCTGAAAATCGGTTAGTCATAATTGTGTGGATAGTATTCACTCCTTGAATATTCATACCAATCTTTATCTCCTAATTGTTTATTCCATTTGATATGCGGTAAAATCAGTCATAATCATCAGGATGTCAGGGAAATCTACACAATTTAGAATCATGTGACATTGAGAACTTTGAAACCACCTATTAGAAATTCTTATTTGGTTAACATCCAAATCTGAATTTTGATGGTAAAAAGTTTGTTCCCAGTAGTCAATTCAGATCGCGAATGACACAAAGAGTTCACTTTCGTGAGAATTTAATCTCAACTGTTGTTTGTTCAGTTTAAAACTATACAAATGAACATCGATTAGCAGACACTATAAAAAATGCTACGAGATGGTAAATCACAAAATAGCGTTTTACACTGCTGTTCAACTTTTTGTCAATAATTACCCCCATTACGGTGGTTCATATGTACACATGAAGACATTAGACATGTTTGTAGAGTTGAGTTGAAAAACCGATCTACCTACTAAGATTTCGGCAGTTAGATAGCACCGTATTCAAGAAAGCATGGCATATAGTCTACTGCACAAATGTACACAAGATTCCTGAGTGTAGATTGATTGTTCAGCTTCATAGTGATTGACAGTATACTGAATCGATAACAATAATTATTATCATGACAGATTGTAAAACACCTTGAATATAGAAATTTTCTTTTCACCTCAACTTCATCGATTTTGAAAAGACCTTCGATAGCATCGACCGAGAAGTAATTTGCCAGCTGATGCTTTAACACTACATAGTGAGTACCTTAAATCTGCAGGTGAACAACTAACAAGTTGGCAGAAGAGCCAGAGCAGACAAGACAGAACTTCCTTGAAGCGAATGTAGAGAAGACAGAGGTGATGAAGATATCCAACTATCACCAACAACACAAACAAGCACCAATCACCATCAACATGAGGAACCTGGAAGGAAGTACTCTCTTTCACCCACCCATGTAGGCAATATCGTCTCAATTACAGGCGGCACAAATGAAGACATCAAAAAGACAGCAAGATAGGTCTTCTTTCATCAATCTGAAATCAGTGTGGAGATCTACTACACCGTATACAGCATGTGGAACATGATCCGGATTTTCAACATTACTATTGTCAGTCAAGTAAGTGCTTCTTTGTAATGGTTGACAGACTTTGAACATTACAAAGAGAATAATAATACAAATAATATATATAATTCATCATCATCATCATTATCAACATAGGACCAGGCATTACTGCGTAACACTTCGAGTTGCCACACCTCATATCAGCACATCAAGTAAAAAGATAGTGAGGTGAAGGATGAAGATGAGTGAATGCACTCAAAAGAAATATAAAGTACGAAAAGAAAAGAAAGACGACTGACAAAATGGTGAGATTCGGTATAGCGTTGTTAAGATGAGGATAATGTGTGTATACATCTGCGCCACTGACTTCGGTTCTGAGCCATATCACCTACAGTCGGTCTACAACCACTGGTTCCTCTTGCCCCACCTACCCCAACCACCTAGTCTGCATCGTCACCCCACATGGCTTAAACCAACAGTCAGAGACTTCATACATTGGTGCCATGTTTTAGTCTGGCCACCTCAGGCCTTTTTCCAGCCTGGACCCACCTCAGCCAACATTGTGTGACGAGGCAATCGGTGACTAGGCATACGTAGTACGTGTCACAGCCAACCATCTCAGTCGATGAAGGTTCACAACCTCGTCAACTGACTTACTTCTTCTCCCCAAAACTCTACACCTAACTTCTGCATTACTCACGTTGTGTGGTGACACCACGGAATACGTCCTATACTACGAAGGCAACGGTAGTCAAACACCTGAAGCCTTTTTGTATCCTCCACTTTCAATGGCCATGTTTCACAGGCATAGAGTAGAACAGAGCGGACCGCTATGCAGTACACGCGACCCTTAATAGACAAACGAATATCACGGCGGCGCCATAGGTGGCGCAAATTGGCAAAAGCCAATCGAGCCTTTTGTATCCGTGCCGAAATCTCATCGGTAACTAACCCACAAGGGCTGATCCTACTTCCCAGGTAAGTGAAGTGGTCAACATACTCAACCACTTCACTCTCTATTGTTAACCGCGGTGGGGCACCGCTGAAGACCAGTCAGTCCTGGAGCAAAAATTTGCATTTGGGTGGTGAAAATCGCATCCCAAACATTCTCAAATTCCCACTCAAAGTGTTCAGAAGACTCTGCATCTTGTCAGCGTCTTCACCTAACAGGATTGACCATGTCATCTGCATATTCTAGATCTAAAGAAAAATATATATAATTAAATTATTGAAAGTCAAGAAAGGAATTCCTTTTTGACATAATCTTTTCTCAGAAGTCTCCAGTTCAGTGACTTAATGATATTCATCTCACTACGAACAGGTTTTACAATAAACTAGTTACTATGCCAGTACTAACTTTCAAAGCATTACGATTAGAAATTCAATCTATCCTTAATCATGAAGAAGTTCAACAGTTTTAAACAACTCATCAATTATCCCACATTCCTCTCTCTCTCTCTCTCACTCCCTCCCTCCTTCTCCCTCTCTCTCTCTCTCCAGTTACCATCCAATCAGAAAATATTTCATAAAACTCATAATATCCATATTAAACAAAAAAGATAATTTATTCCTAGGCGAATATTTAAGGTGCAGCATACAAAGTAGTTCCGTTCAAAGAGATTAACTGGTTAGCTGGAAGATGTACTAATTGTTTCAATCCTTTTGAATTATCATCATAATTTAAAGTATACAAATGTAAATTGACACTATTCAACCAACCGAAAACACATTTCACCTGAAAGAAAGAAAAAATTTATATATATAATGAAGATGAGAATATGATTTCATATTATCATTATTATTATTTGTCCCTTGAGTTCCTCCGAGTGGAACACAGGGCTTCAGTAGCACGCCTCCTCTCTGTAAACTTTTGAACCTGGCTCCACGACAGCCCACAAGCTCTCGTTTCTTCCTCACACGATCTCTTCCATGTCACCTCCACCTCGGACGCCCAACTCGTCGTTTCCCATCTGGCTCCCACTCGAGTGCCTGGCATGGCGTGATATCCCCAGTCGGCCTTCTCAGTGTATGCCGAATACATCTACACTTCCTTCCAGTGCATATTTGTTCACCGATAGGTTCTTGCTTCTTTGGTTCCTTACCAGGTCAGAGTTATTTGTTGATTATTATTTCCGACCATCTGATCTTCAGTAGCCAGCCAGTGTAGACTGCACCTGTTGATGAATGTCTATAGTTTGTTGGAAATGGTTTTGGTAACACACCAAGTGTCTCAACCATCACACAGAAACACTGACTTGACTGTGGTAGCGTTGAAAATCCGTATCTTGTTTTTTATGCTGGGTGCAGTTGATCTCCACACTGATTTCAGGTTAATGAACACCTGTCTTGCTTTTCCGATCCTGGTTGCTTTGATGTCCTCGTTTGTGTCTGTGCCGCTTGTAGTTGAAACACTGCTGCCTAGATAGGTGTAGGTGAGAGAGGCTACTTCCTTTAAGTTTCTCCTGTTGATGGGCAGCCTTGTTAGGTTCAAACATAGTGCAAACATTCCATATCCCCACGTTTACATTCGTTTTCATCGAGGGAAGATACATCGGCCGATTGGCTTCCTGAAGGTTTTCACCAACCGCCATCCTTTCGTCTCTCCGATTTCAGTGAGGAATAAATTTGTTTTTATTTTTTATATTTTATCTGTGCTTTGAAGTTTCTTTAGTCGTTGGATTTGTTTTACGGGGTAAAGTTGCTAGCCCTACGCCCAACCTTCCCTCTTTACCCGGGTTTGGGACCGGCTAGTAACTTGTGAACTAGTTAATCAGGCGAGGTTATATGATTTCATAGGGTTGTATTTAAACAACAACAAATTTGAACGTGTACACTTGAAGGAAGAATATGGAGATATTTCTCATACAGATGAATTAGTTTGTCAACTGTCAGGTTGTCAATGAAGTGATTCAAAAATGTCTTGAACCAGTGATAAGTTGATGAACTCGGTCTCTAAACGAGTGGAACTGATAGCTATCTGAATGGTTTCTAACTACTGAAATTTTCATCAGTAGTAGTCAGTACTGCTATATGGTTCAGAAACTTGGCGTGTCACGCAAAGCATTTCCAACACACTACAAACATTCATCAATAGCTGCCACCTACGCTCGCTCAATACTGAAGATCAGGTCAGATGGCCAGAAAGAATAAGCAACAAGGAACTCTGACTGGAAACGAACCAACCAAGAACCTATATGCAGAAGAAAGTGGAGATGTATTGAATCGGGATACACTGAGAAGGCCGATTGGGGACATCACGCTTCAGGCCAGACCCTTGAGTGGAATCCAAAGGGGGAACGACGAGTTGGGCGTCTGAATCGAGGGTGACATGGAGGAGATCATGTGAAGCAGTAATGAAAGCTTGTGGGCAATCGTGGAGTGAGGTTCAAAAGACTGGAGAGTGCAATGGAGGCGTGCTACTAAAGCTGTATGTTCCACTAGGAACCCAAAAGAAAAATGATAATAGTAGTAATATATCTAAACGTGTAGTCTAGTAGGAGTATTGGTATACAACTTTAGGATTGAATTACTTATTTACAATTGCGTAATTGTAGAACAATCAAGTAAGGAGCACAAGGTGTCACTATGTAAGTAACACAGAAATCAGATGAAAAGTTTTATCGAGGAGAGGTTGTGAACCTTTATCAACTGAGATGACTGATTGGGACATGTGTTACGAATGCCTAGTCGCTGTCTGTCTCGTCGCACAATGTTCGCCTAAGTAGGTTTCGGCTGGAAAAACCCCCGGGGACGTCAGACGTTAAACATGGCATCAATGCGTGAAGTGGTTAACTCTTCATTTGAGTCATGTAGGGGGGCGATGCAGACTAGCCGGTTGGGGTCCGCGGGACAAGAGAAACTATTGGTGGTTGGAGACTGAGTCTAGGTGACGATATAGCTCAGAATCTATATCAGTGGCGCTATACTTAATCTCATCACCATCATCTCACTTTCCCTTCCTCTCTTTCACTATTTTCTATGAGGTGAAGTGTGCCAACTTGTACTACTACGCAGTAATGTCTGGTCATATGTTAATCTTGATGATGATGAAGGAGCGGAAGTATGGACAGGTTTTCTAAGTTTGCCATGGTGTATCGAAAAGTATATCCATGTGAAATATATCATTCACGTTAGAAGCAATACCGTTAACTTTCAAATCATATATGTGATTTACACGGTAACGAACGAACCTACACATGAAAAGGTTACATCTACTGACGATCACATGCATCAGTTGTCATAGGAGTGATATCCATCCGAATTAACCTAGGACCAGGCATTGCCACCTAACGGTCCGAGTTGTCACAGCCCATATCAGCACATAAAGTAAAAAGATAGTGAAGTAGATGAAAAAGGAAAGAAAATCCAGTCAAAAGAAATGTAAAGTACTAAAAGAAGGAAAGGAGAAATGAGAAAATGGTGAGATTCCCTATGGCATCGTTAAGATGAGGATAATGTGTATGGGGATACATCTGTGCCACTCACATCGGTTCTTAGCCATGTCATCCATCACCTACAGTCAGTCTCCAACCACTAGTTCATCTTGTCTTACGGACCCCAACCACCTAGTCTGAATCGCCCCACATGGCTCAAACCAACAGTCAAACACTTCATACATCAATGCCATGTTTTAGTCTGACCACCTCGGGCCGTCTTCAGCCTAAATCTACTTCGGCTAACATTGCGTGACGAGGCAATCGGTGACGACTAGGCATACGTAGTACGTGTCCCAACCAGCCAGCCATCTCAGTCGATCAACGTTCACAACCATGTCAACCGACTTAACTCTTCTCCCTTCCTAAAACTCTACTCCACGGTGTGGTGACACCATGGAATACGGCCTATACTACGAAGGCAATGGTGGTCAAACACCTGAAGCTAGTCTTCTCATGTCTTCCAACTTCAATGGTCATGTTTCACAGCCATACAGTAGAACAGACCACACTGCTGTGCACTATACGCGATCCTTAGTAGACAATCGGATATCACGGAGGCGCTATAGGTGGCGTAAATTGGCAAAAGCCAATCGAGACTTTTCTATCCATCTCATAGGAGTGATAATTGAACAAGTATGAATAAAACAGTTAGTTCATAGGATTACAACTGAAACATCCATTATATATCAACTTCAATATATACAACAAGGTCTGATCACTCGATAAGTGATATTTTCGGAGTTCTATAACCCATCCACTGTGGATGAGTAGTAGTTAGGACCACTGAATACATAAACTGAAACGTGTATGTGTCTTCTTTGAGACCGATTTAGAATTTATTATGTGTAATGAAGCAACAAACAACATTATGCATAATAATGATGATTAGACGTAGAAGATACCTACGAGAGTTTTAAGAAGAAGAGAAAAGTCACTTGATATGGTTGTGAACTTTCACTGACTTCAGATCGCTTCGACATTTGTTACTCATGCTAAATTACCGTCTACTTTATCAGACAATTTCCGTTGAAATAGTAGGTTCAAGATAATCAAAGGAAAACATGACATCACTGTATAAAGTCCTAGACTGTTAATCTGAGTAATGTAAGAAGATGCAGACAAACCGGTTAGAGTTCACCAAGAAACTTCGCATACAACAGTATGTGTACAACTTGTCACACTTCAAAATTGTAGCATGCAAAAAGGAGTGATATTAATATAGACAAAGTTGTGTGACAATTATTCAGCTAAGTTATCAAGAATTCTCAATCATAGATTCCTTTGGTCAGTTAAAGACTTTATCAACTGTTACCAAGTCTTGATATTGGCCACCTAGAACTCTCTTCCAAACTTATCCAACTTCTTCTAGAATAGTATATCGACGTAGGTGATGACTATTCTTGGAAGCCACCTTTCTTTACATTAAGTTCTATTAGATCATGAAGCTGATAAATTGATTGAGTGAGTGATACAGTTTTTAACCACGTTTTGGCTGAGGTGGGTCCAGGCTGGTAAAAGGCCCGAGGTGGCCCGACTAAAACATGGCACCAATGTATGAAGTCGTTGACTGTTGGTTTAAGCCATGTGGAGTGATGCAGACTAGGTGGTTGGGGTTGACGGGACAAGAGGAACCAGTGGTTGGAGACCCTAGGTGATATGGCTGAGAACCGAAGTCAGTGGCGCAGATGTATACACACATTATCCTCATCTTAACGATGCTATACCAAATCTCACCATTTTGTCACTCCTCTTTCCTTTCTTCTCGTACTTTATATTTCTTTTGACTGCATTCACTTATCTTCATTCTTCACCTCACTACCTTTTTACTTGATGTGCTGATATGAGGTGTGGCAACTCGGAGTGTTACGCAGTAATGCCTGGTCCTATGTTGATAATGATGATGATTAACCACGTTTCAAACATAAATTATCACACCATCTAAAGTCCTATCACGTGGTGTTCGTTGTTTCTATTGGTAGTAGAATGTTCCACATCTCTGGTGCATAGGTGTTGGGTGTAGATTCAATGATCAATAACCCTTCTCTCTCTCTCCTCACCTGATTATATTGTTTGACTAGAGTACAATAGTTTTATCGCACCCACCCTATTATGTGTGGTTATGTTGTTAATGCACTGTATTGCAATAGGCGAGATTCTTTTCTGAATTATTGATCTTATTGGCATCTATTATTCTATATTCAGATATTCTAACTGATCCCAACCCGCCAGTTATCATCTTAATACTTGACCTTGTAGTCACTATACGAAATTTGGTAGATTAGACTATTTTGCTTAATTTACTCCTATCGGATACTTAGGTTAACCTACAAAGTTTATCTCTGAGTAACTTTGTAGGTTGAAATGTCACCGTAATTACGGATTTGTTCAAGATCTCATATAAACTTTATGATATACGTTCCTGGTAAAGTTACACAATGAAGGCTGTCAACTCCTTTCTATGGATATTGTCATGGTTATTCGAACTCTTGTTACTGTGTTATTATTTCGTTTGTTGTGTGTTCATACGAATTTCTTCATAAACTATGGAGGATAATTATTAACCATGACCGCTCCTTTCATATGCTTTACTTCCTTGTTTAGATTTCAGCACTGACTAGTGACTTTTCTAGCTCTATCATTCAGATATTTGACTAAACCTGCCTTCATTGACTGATTGACATTGAAGGTGTCAGTTTTCTGTAGACAGTAGTATCCAAACCACCATCTTATCCATCTTTTTATCTTGTAATCCAACATAGGAAATTCTCCTTGTTCATTTTCTACTTCATAAGTGAATAGGATTGAGTCTACTACTGAGTTCACACCATGTCTGAAGAAAATTGTTGATATGTTCCAATTTCAACACAAAATAGTATATGTGTCATAAATATCTCTGTTACGATTGAGGATATTGGTGATCCCATTACTATCCCTACCATTTATTTAAATATTTTGTCCTGAAAATCCAATACTGTGGAGGTCAGGCACAATTATTCGCCTAATATGATCTCATCAATCAATATCTTAGTTCTGTTGGTCAGTTCTGAGTCAATATTTAGTTGACTCCCTAATCACAAACACAACTTTCCACATATCAGGTTTATAGTCCTATCAACCATCTCATATTCTTTGTTCTCATTGGTATAGGTGTTGCATTATTCTTATTACGTGTGTTGGGTGTTGGCTGATTCGATGAACAAAGATTCAGCAATCAAATCCCCTCTCAGTCTCTCTCTCTCCACCTAATTATATTAGACTTGAGTACAGTGATTTCATCTCACTCTGTAGTGTAGTTGTGTGTTAATGCATACATTGATCTCATCCAATGTCAGTCAGTCAGTCAGTCAGTGAAGGTGGATTTGGTCAAATGTGTAAATGACAAAGTTAGAAAACTGACTAGTCAGCAATGCAAGGACTTAAACACATGAAAGAAGAGCTAATGGGTAATAATCATCCTCCATTGTTTATTAAAAATTCGTACGAGCACACAACAAACGAAAAGATAACAATAATACGAGTAGAAAGGAGTTCACAACCTCCAATGAGTCACCCTCTCAGGAGGATACCTCAGAAACTTTGCGTAGGATCCTCAACAAAGCTGAAATCAGGTTGGCATCTAGACCTACAAACTCATTCAGAGATAAGCTTTGTCCGCTGGCTTGAGGATCCGATAGATGAAATTAAGCAAAACAGTCTAATCTATAAAAAATCCATTTGATGACTGTGAGTCAGGTCAATTACATAGGTGAAACTAGACCGACTGGTCAGGGTCAGTTGGATTAGCTGAACATAGGAATGTAGATTGACAAACCCGAATGAGATCAATAATCTAGAAGGAAACTCATCTATCGCACTGCATGCAACAACACACAACCACACAATAAGGTGAGTGGAATACAACCACTGTACTTACCTGCAATATAACTAGGTGTAGTGAGAGAGGCTGTGAGGGGAATTGATTACTGAATCTTTGTTCATCGAATCTACATCCAACTCCTATGCACCAGAGATAATGGGAAGTTTTACTACCAATGGAAACAAAGAATCTTAGGTGACAGGACTATAAGTGATGTGATTACATTCGTTATGATTATGAGGAATGATAATTTATGCTTGAAAAGTGGTCATAAAGTAAATAGGTTAAAACTGTCTTGGTTGTATTGTGTTCTCTCAGCTCCGTTGTTTAATCTTGAGGCTTCCATCCTCCTTCAAGACGACATCATCAGCATTAACTTCAGTATGAAGTGAGCTGTCAATATCTCTCCGTCAGTGATTTAGTAGCTTGCTCTGAAAATGTGGTCTGTGATTGGTTGTTTCCTTCGATTGTTGTGTCATTGATTGTATAGACTTTCTTGTTGGTTGTCCCTCTGCTTGACCTCTGACCTTTCTGTCGTTTATCATCTTTCTCATTGCTTGTTGATCGGGTCTATGTCGATACATCTGTTGATTGCTGACTGACTGAGCTGAATGCCAAGCTTCTAGGAATTCTCTGATACTCTTTGTGTCCTCTGTTCAAAATTTCTACATTGTCGAAATTGAATTCATGTCCATAATTATCCACATGCACTGAAATGAGTGATGAAATATCGTGACGTTCAATAGCCAATTGGTGTTCATGTAGACGAAGGCGAAGAGGGTGACCACTTTGTCCAGTATAGTGTCGACCCCAATTATTGCAGTTGGTTTTTAAATGATATTCGGTTCATCTTCTTTGGTTGTCGCATCCTTTGGTCTGCATAATAGAGTTTGGAGGGAATTTGTTGGTTTATGAGTGGCCGCACCAATTCCACCCAGTGGTTTGAGTAATCTTGTCATGATTTCTGATATATTCCTTATGCAAGGTGGGATGATTCGTCTGTTGATTTCTGTCGATGACTTTGTGGTTGATAATGTACGAGATAGATGGTATCTGGATACATTATCTTGTGTAGCCGTTCTTCTTTAGCATAGACATCGGGTAATTTTCTTCGTTTCTCCGTGAAGTTGTTGTTGTACAGCAGTGTGTTCTTGCTCTTCTGAATAGAGTCTGCATGCAACTGATCTTGTTGGGTTGTTACTACTGTAGTTGAGGATTTGGTAAGTGTATGTTGTCTTTCAGTACACTTGGGTTTCCAGCTACCCCGTATTAATTCTATTGACCAGAACATCCAGGAATGGTAGTTGGTTGTTTGACACCTTCTTCATTGTGAATTTGATGTCACTGAAAACGTTATTGATCAAATTGTGGGTGTTTTCTATATCATCTTGTTCAATGATGACAAAAGTGTCATCCACATAGCGAATCCAGAATTTTGGTTTGATCCATAGGTAGGATAATAGCTGCTAGTCTCTGCATCACTGCTTCTGCAATTAACCCGGATATCAGTGATAATGTCGTCTAGAACGACGATGAAAGCTTCTCGATGATTAAACAAACCAACTGAGAGAACACAATACAACCAAGACCATCCAACCTGAGCTACAAAGTGTTCTCCACTATTTCAGATTAAAACTGTATCACTTACTTGGTGCTATATCAATCAAATATACGAATGTTTAATATGGAAGAAGCGAATTAGTAATAGTTTACCTTTCTTAACAAATCATCAACATTTTGTACAAGCCAATGATTATTAGTATCTCTTAGTTGAACTTTGATAGTTTGTAGACTGTTAACATGATTGATCACTGTAACAAACACTGGTTGTTGTTGATGTCGGGTAGCATTCTCCATAATCTTCTGAACACCACAATGAACATCACTATCGACATTAGAACATTGTTTACGTGAGAAGATAATAAGATCTATATTATCCGGTGGGATCTACATTAATATTTAGTAGGAAGAGACAAAAATTAGAAACAAACAAGGTGGGGAAATGAGATATCAGAAAACTGAGAGTATCTGGTATTGCAACTCAACGTTTTCTTGTGTATTTTATAAACTTCAACATCCTGTCTATCGTTCTCTTTTATTCTCTTCTACTTTTCTCACTTGGTTAAATAGTTCACTAGTACTTCATGCAACAAACAGTGAGGAGCGAGAAGAGGGGGATACGCTAGATTGAAGAAAAGAGCCTAGAAGATTAGGATTTCGCCAATGACCTGTGTCTAATGTTGCACAAACTTGAAGATCTACAGGCGAAAACTAACAAGTTGACAGAAGAGGCACAGTAGCGAAGACGGGACTCCAGGTGAACGTAGAGAAGACAGAGGTGATGAAGGTACCCAACCAACATACACTACCACAAGCAACAACAAGCACCAGTCACTATCAACTGGAGAAACTTAAAGGAAGTAGCCTCTCTCATCTACACCTATCTAGGCAGCACTGTTTCAACTACAGGCGACACAGACACAAACGAGGACATCAAAGCAACCAGGATCGGAAAAGCAAGACAGGTGTTCATTAACCTGAAATCAGTGTGGAGATCAACTGGACTCAGCATAAAGAACAAGATACGGATTTTCAACGCTAATACAGTCAAGTCAGTGTTTCTGTGTGATGGTTGAGATACTTGGTGTGTTACCAAAACCATTTCCAACAAACTATAGACATTCATCAACAGGTGCAGTCTACACTGGCTGGCTACTGAAGATCAGATGGTCGGAAATAATAATCAACAAATAACTCTGACCTGGTAAGGAACCAAAGAAGCAAGAACCTATCGGTGAACAAATATGCACTGGAAGGAAGTGTAGATGTATTCGGCATACACTGAGAAGGCCGACTGGGGATATCACGCCATGCCAGGCACTCGAGTGGGAGCCAGATGGGAAACGACGAGTTGGGCGTCCGAGGTGGAGGTGACATGGAGGAGATGTTATGAGGAAGAAATGAGAGCTTGTGTGCAGTCATGGAGCGAAGTTGAAAAGTTTGCAGAGAAGAGAGTGCACTGGAGGCGTGCTAGTGAAGCCCTGTTTGACTAGGAACCTAAGGGACAAATAAATAAATAATAATATAGTGTTTCTGAATGAAGAGACTATGCTATATTGTGTAGATCTTTGAAGATTATCAGCAGAACTAGAGTGGTGTACATCTAAACCCTTCTAATTATAAAACTGCTATGAACACGTTTACACATTTGACAGTAGTTATTTTATCAGCATCCTCTTCACTTAAATCGCTCGAAATGTCATACCTCAGGCAAGGCTAGCGAGTAAATGTATAAGACTTTAAGTAATTATGACTAACCGTAAAAACCTAAGTATACCGTATTTGCGTCCTATCCTAAAGGAGGAAGGAAGTGTTAGAAATGAACTGACTAACTAAAGATTATACATTTTGGGGTTATATTAATGTATAATGAATCTAACTGCTAATATGACTGTCCCCCTAGTGACTAACGAAGAAATGTAGGACACGCATTTCGTTGTAAATGACAATCGCCAGCTGGATATATATCTGCCTCCCTCCCAGTGAGTGATGTTCTTCTCATCGAAACTCGAACACCGGGTGGATCGCTTCAAACAACAAAGAGTTATCCACCAATCCAATGGCTTATGATAACCACTCCTTATGTGACATGTATAGTTTTTCAACGTTGTTACTTATATTATTCCATAGTTCGTTGGAATGAATTTGAACCAGTGAATAATGAGGGCCTTCTATTCAATTTTACCATAGATATTCTTATAGAGGTCTCCTTCTCGTCACCTAACAGCAGACAGGTTGACCTAATCGTAGGAGAATTTCCATTAGACCTGCAATACACAGATGACATAGGCCTGTTAGGTGAAGACAGTGACAAGATGCACAGTTTTCCGGACACTTTAAGAATGTTTGGAATACGTTTCTCACCATCCGAATGCAAATTGTTGCTCCACGATTGGTCTTCAACAGTGCCATGGCTAACAGTAGAGAGTGTACTGGTTGAGTGTGTTGACCACTTTGCTTCCCTCGGAAGTAGGATCAGATCTGGCCTGCTCTGAAAGCTCAGCGACCGTAGAAATCTATGCACGAATAAAAAATCCTAAGCTGGCTTTTGCTAACTTACCCCACCTGTGGAGCCGCCATCATATCCGATTGTCTTTTTAGGGTAGCGTGTACTGCTCAACAGTCCGCTCTGTTCTACTCTATGGCTGTGAAACATGGCCACTGAAGCTGGAAGACATGAGAAGGCTAGCTTCAGGTGTTTGACCACCATTGCCTTCGTAGTATAGGACGTATTCCATGGTGTCACCACACCACGTGAGTAATGCAGAAGTCAGGAGTAGAGTTTTAGGAAGGGTGAAGAGGTAAGTTGGTTGACATAGTTGTGAACCTTGATCGATTGAGATGGCTGGCTGGTTGGGACACGTACTACGTAAACCTAACCACCATCTACCACGTCAAGCAATGTTAGCCGAAGTAGATTTAGGCTGAAGACGGCCCGAGGTGGTCAGACTAAAACATGGCATTGATGTATGAAGTGTTTGACTGTTGGTTTGAGCCATGTGGGGCGATTCAGACTAGGTGGTTTGGGTCCATAGGACAAGATGAACTAGTGGTTGGAGACTGACTGTAGGTGATGGATGACATGGCTAAGAACCGATGTGAGTGGCACAGATGTGTCCCCACACACATTATCCTCATCTTAACGATGCCATAGGGAATCTCACCATTTTCTCATTTCTCCTTTCCCTCTTTTAGTACTTCACATTTCTTTCTTTTTTCATCTTCTACTTCACTATCGTTTTACTTGGTGTAATGATATGAGGTGTGGCAACTCAGACGGTTAAGCAGTAATGCCCGATCCTGTGTTGATTTGGATAGACGGCGAATGTTAGCCTTTTAGTGGTAAGGATGAATATGATAGCATCATGTCGAACCTTTAAGCCTCCAGTCGACGTTCGAGTAACAGATGTGACACAAACATTGGAGATTATTAACAACTGTTGCAGAAGATGGAAATATAGACTATATCCAATGGTTCGACTGTTAATTAACTAACTTTTTCCTGGTATACTTGACTGACTTGTTTCCTATCCAGTACATAATTCCAAGTTATCTTCTCTTATTCCAATCTTATGTATACAAGTGACCTCTTATATTATTACAATCATCCCCTGTGTATTAGTGGATGATAAAAAACGCGATTGACTTTCACCACTTTACACCATCTGTTGCGACGCCGTGATATTCGAATGTCGATTAAAGGTCAAGTATACTGTGCTGAGAAAGAATCAAAAAAAACACAAGGAACCCTGGTTAGCAGCGAACCAAGAACCTATCGCCCAACAAATATACAGGAGAAGAAACCGGAAATGGATTGAATATACACTGAGAAGACCGTTTGAGAACATCACGCGTCAGGCCTGGTCATCGAGTGGAAGTTAAATGAGAAACGAGAAAATTGTATGAGGAAGAAATGAAAGCTTATGAGCAGTGGTGAAGCCAGGTTCATAAGACTGGGTAGAACAGATGGAAATGGAAATGGAGACACTATTACCTTGAGCCAAGTAGACGGAAATACAGACTAGCCGATTGATGTTCGCATAACAACAGCAACTTTGGAGATAACATGTCTCAGAATCGATGTTTCTCCTTACTCTCATACAGTAATCTCTGGTGTTCTATGTTCGCATTGATAATCATTAAGAATTATTACAGTATAATATAGGGCAGTTATGGGACTTCAAGTGAACGTGAAGAAAACAGAGGTGATCAAGATTCCCAACGAACAACAAGTACCAATCACCACCAAAGAGAGAAACCTAAAGAAAGTAGTATCTTTCAACTGTCCAGGAGGCAGCACCGTTTCAACTACAGCCGGCACAGATGAGGACATCAAAGCCAACAAAAAGCCAACATCAGAAAGACAGCAAGACAGGCCTTCCTTCATTAATCTGAAATCAGTGTGGAGACCTACTGCACTCCACTGCACTCAGCATAAAGTGTGAACAACATCCAGATTTTCAACAGTGTTAATGTCAGTCAAGTAAATCTATGCTTCTATGTGATGGTTGAGAGACTTGGCGTCTTACGGAAAGCATTTCCAACAAACTACAGAGATACCTCGTCATCAGCTACCGCCTACACTCTCTGGATACTGAAGATGAAGACCAGATGGCCAGAAAGAATAAATAACAAGGATCTCATTCTGGTAACGAACCAACGAACCAACACCCTAACACCCAACAAATATAAAGGAAAAGAAAGTGGAGGTGGATTGGATCGAGCATACAATGGGAAAGTCGTTTGGATACATCACGTACTACGCCAATCGCTCCAATGGTACCCAAAGGGGAAATGATGAGTTTGGCATCCAAGGCAAGGGTGAAATGGAGGAGATTGTGTGAGGAAGAAAAGAAAGTTTAAAGGTAGTCGTGGAGCCAGGTGAGAAACACTGCAGAGAAGAGAGTGCACATGCAGATGTACTTTTGAAGCCCTATGTAGAGTTAGAATATTCTGCACCTCGACATTTTCATCCTTTAAGGTAATTTACACAGTTAAACTGAACTACTACAATAATAACATAAAATAATGTGCAGTGATTAGTCATTGTAGAACAACCAACTTCATGTTGTCTAGTCCTATGTACTGACTGAAAGGTATCCATCGTTTTCTTGCCATATAACCAACCAACCATCAAGCGAGGATGCTAACCATCACAGAGGTTACTAACCACCCGAATAGTTCACTATTGGCTACAACACTAGGTAATACAAGTTCAAACCTCAAAGAAGACTTGATGTACGAATGTTCGAATAATTTGACAGTAGATGATTCCACCAAAATTTTCAGAAGCTTTCATATGGTCTCATCTAGAGCTCAGGAGGATAGCCTATCCACCCTACAACTTCCCTTTTCTCATCTTGATTTCAAAAAGACCAAGTGTGTTCGAGGATTTAAGCTTGAAATGTATACGAGCAAAAACTGGTAGGGTTGAATCTATATCCTCTGAAATGCAGAAGACTGTGAAGGTATTCGATAATGGACTAGAATATCTCAAACGCCGCTGATAACCTCCTTTAACCTATGTTATAACAATAATCTCAGACGACATACACACACACACACACACACACAGAAGTTAGACCTCAAACATACCAGCTGAGATATTAGACATGACTTCGACTCCCTAAGACGTTATATATCTTGGAATATTCTCCTCACAGAAATGGTTCAGGCTGCCTCCTTTGAATCTTGTAAACATCGACTTCGTAACTACTCACAATGTTGGCATAAGTTGAATCACAACCAACTTTCTTTTCCTACTTAAAAAAACATCTTAACAACTAAAAGATATTGTGGTTCACTGTTTCTAGATACAGAAGTTAGTTAAGCGAAAACATCTTCGTTTCAATGTGTTCTCCTCAAAGGTTAAAGGTCCTCGATGTGCACTGCTGATGAGTGGCACACTAAGACAAAACACCTGTCCAGTGTTCTCAAGTTTTCAATGCTTGTCTAACCGATACCAGTCCATGATGGATACCAACTGGAAAACTTCTTTTCTACTAAAAACCACAAAGTCCAAATGTTGGTTTTCGAATACCTTTCAGATATGCTGGGCATGGAGTATAACACGATACACAGTTGTATAGTGAGGAACATACATGATGAAGTGTACTAGACTGTACTGTACTGTGTACCAAAAAAAAGGCTAACTAATTAAGAATTCAACTTAGATAGATAGTAAAATGTGAATTCATTTTTAAAGATACATTTCAACTTACTGAAACTGTTTCATGGATAATTTCTCGACCTAATTCCCAGCCATCAGGTATAACAACACTGGCACTCTTCATAATCGTTGCAGCCGTCGCCACCGCTACCCTGTCCCCATTATTTGCATTCAAGGACTGTCTCATTATAATGAATGGTTGTTTGATAGTTGACTGTATGAAATTCACATAACTACCATCTGGACTAGCCACATTATGATAGGCATCTAAATCCGTCACTGCAACAATCACAATCGGATCTTCAGGAATAAGTTCAGCCTAAAAACATTGTATCACAGGGATAAAATTAATTATTAGTCGAAAGTAACATCTATAAGAAAAGTAATAATTCACTCAACAACCTTGTGAACATTTGTACAGTAGGCAATGAAGATGAATAACACGATAATGGCTACTGCCTGAATCTCAGTAGATGGAGCGCGGTACAGACAGACAGACAGAATGAATCAAGGCAGAACCCTGTACAGAAATGCATGACTTCAAGTCATCATACTTCACAGCAGGATACAAAGAACAAGTGGATATGAAGAGAAGGTATTCGAAAATAAAGGTTAGTCAAAATATTCAACCACTGGAAGATGTCAGTCACAGAGTGAAGATATCTCCGCCACTGTGACAGAATATCAGTTATATCACCAAGATTCCACACCTCCCTACATGGCTCATGAAAGTTCATAACCTCATCGACTGACATACCTTACTTAACTAGTAAGCTTCAGCTGACTTCTACATCGCTCACGCAGTGATTCCACTAAATACGCATGGTCAAAGACCTACTTTCAATGGCCATGTTTCCCAGTCGTATAACAGGACAGATCGAACTGCAGTTCAGTATACTCTTCCTTCGATAAATAGTCGAATATCTTACCAGTCGGCACAACAGATGGTGTAAGTTGGCGATTGCAAAACCTGTCTTCTGTATCCAACCTGAAATTTCATCAAGGGGGTTGATGCAACTCTACAACTAAGTGAAGTGACCAACGCTTTCCCCAACTTCACTTCTTAACCACCTCAAACTAAGAATCGCTGCAGATTAATTCTGACACATTTGACAGGCGCGAAACGCAAGACCTTATATTTTGTCAGAATCTTCACCCAGCAGGATAATATCGTATGTGTATCCTGTGAATTCAGACATACCTAGAGTTATGCCCAATTATTGCATCTCTGACGAACACCTCAAGTTAGATGATAACTCTCCATGAACCCTTACACAACTTTATAACTTCCAGTAGAGAACTCTGATAAGCATTTTTATACCTGAACGTTCAAGTTGACAGGTTAAATGAGAGTATAGGCTATTATGAGAAAACCTTATCGGTAAATTTGACCCTTTTTTTCTTGTCATCATGCTACTATGATGCCAATTATTCGCTGATTCATTCCACCGAATCACAAGTTACAAGCGCATAAAATGATAGTTAAATGTCTAAATCACTAACGTAGTGGGACTATGGCTCATTTGGTGTAGTTATTCAACTTCCAACTATTAGGTTCATTGGTCGAACCATGCGCCTCGTCTACTAAGACTTCAATAGCCAAATAAGGAACATCATTCAAAGAAACTTTAGATCTCTAATCATTACAATTTACTAGCTTATATAAATATTATATCAATAATTTAAGTAAGAAAGGGGAAATAATGTAGAATTATATACCTTTTTACGTGTCCTTTGAATACGATTCACAAGTTCTCTAGCTAAGCGTTCATTCTCTAACTCAGGATCTGGTGTTGTATCCAATATTACAAGTAGACCTTTTGTATCAGAAGCAGTTTCATACTTCGATAGATTTTGATTACTGACAGTTGATTGGTTTGATTTAAGTTTTGAACTATTAGATGAAGTTGAATGTGTATCATTACCAGTGGTGTAGACTACTGACAAATCATCACCAGATAATTCATGTCCACAGACAATTAGACGACCAGTCTATTAGTTGGAAAAAAAATACAGAAATACTAAGTTTAGTAACATAGAAATACTCAGATTACTTTCAATGATGTACATAGTTCCTTTAGATTGATTACATGTACAAGAAATTATATACATGCATACACAAGAATGGACACAACTATATACCAATAGTCAATACGTCCACTGCAAGATCTGAAGGTCATTGGTGTGTGCTACTGAAGAGTGCCACACTGAGACGAAACAGAAGTCCAGTTCTCCAAGGTTTTCAACGGTTCTTCAAATGATACAACTACCTAGTGAAAATAAACAAATTCTGCAACAAAAATCAACATGTTGAGAAGCCAACTACTTTCTTCATGCCCCAGTAGATAACGCATTTGGTGCTTGAAGCTATCCGTACTGAGTTTGAACCTAAGTGAGGACAATATTATTCTGCACTGGGGGATGTAGGTACACCCAGATGATGAGTACCAAAGAAAATGAAACGCAAGTCTTGGATTTCCCTGTTAGTCACCAAGATGAAAAACTTCTTTCCCCAATGATTTAAAAGACAACAGTGAATATTAAGACAAAGGCGGAAGCAAAAATACCAATGTCTCCCTGATAGACCGAACTCATTAGTAAAAGCAAAATACATGTGAAACATGAGTATCATTTTAGCAAACTCATTCAACAGCTACATGACTATGCCACATGTCAAGTGATTGACAATGGAAACCTCAATGGCGCCTTTGAAGTAAAGACAGGAGTAAGACAAGGTTGAGGTGTACTATCACCGATCATGTTCCTGATTATGGTCGATTGAACTCGACTCAACTGGATCATGCAAGAAACAACTGTGAGAAGATGGAGCATACGCTGGCTGTTTGACCGATGAAAATACCCTGGAACATTTGAATTTCGCCCATGATGATTTATGTCTGGTGTCTTATGTCGCACAAACTCGAAGATCTACAAGCGAAAACTAACAGGTTGGCAGAAGAGGCGAGGCAGAGAAGACACAGGTGATGAAGATGCCCAACCAACACCACCACCAACAACAACAAGCTCCAATCACCATCAACGGAAGAAATTAAAAGGAAGTAATATCTTTCACCTGCTGACTAGGTAGTCAGCATTATCTCAACTACAAGCGGCATAGATGAGGACGTCAAAGACACAATCGGAAAGACAGCAAGATAGGCCTACCTTCATTAATCTGAAATCAGTGTGGAGATCTACTGCACAGCACTCAGCATAAAGTATGAAGTCAGTCAAGTCAATGTTTCGATATGGTTCAAAAACTTGGCACCTTACGAAAACCATTTCCAGTAAACTACAGACATATGTCATCAACAGCTACCGCCTACGCTCGCTCGATACTGAAGATGGAGATCAGATGGCCAGAAAGAATAAGTAACATCTGAGTACCCTTTGTCTAACCTCAAAAATTATTCTGTCAATGAAAAAAAAATGTTTGTAGAGACGATATACACACACAACCGACTGTAACAAAATCAATAGTAACTTTTTATTAAGAATCTACAATGGCATGAAAACGTTTTACACCGTTTCATTTAGTGATAATTATTAAGTAAATAAAGAAGAGATAATTCAGTAAAGAAAATTTTCTTTTTCGACGATATCATTCTCTAAAGCTGGACAATCCTATTTATATTGTATGTCATAAACATAAACAGTCCATCATAAAACAATGAGGTATAATTACATCATCAACCAAGTGCTACGAAAAACCGAATCAACATTGCAAAGTAGTTGCGTAATAATCCAAGACAGTAGGAATATCGAGGAAGGTGAGGAGTTTGACAAGGTGAAAATTGTTGGTAGATAAGAAACGCAAATATTGAGTATCCACTTGATACATAGATAGATGGATGTAAAGAAGGTGAAGAATGAGACAAGGGTCATAATGAAGGTGACTGTAACTGTAATGTAAGTGTTAAGACCATGGTAAGATGAGAGATTGAACAGAGATCAGGCTTGAATTGATGAATTGTTAGTGCCTCCGTTGTGCACAACTATCGAAGGTCTACTCCTTTTCAACTATTCCATCTAACACGATAAATGATATTGAAGGAGTATTCTGGTCTAATTTTATGTCCACAGTTGATCAAATGTTCAACAGTTGAACCGTTAATTGATTTACATTCTCCCCTAAACAACCATGCAGGATAGTGCTCCGAGATACCTTTGGAAAGCGTGCGCTTTGTGCAGCCTATATAACTAGCTCCACAGGAAGGAGCAAGTAAATTTGTAGACACACATCGAGGTGTCCCAAAGTGGTAACTTGTCTTTAACGCACTCCGGAATGAGTTGTTGACTAGAGAAACTGATCTGCAGTTTTGCAGAGAAGAATGTCTTCTTCAGTGATCTGGACAGCCGATTCTTCAGGATCTGTGCTGCCGTATCGCGTTTGAAAACAACCTGCATAAACAAGGTCTTCTTAGGAACTGTAAGTACTCGCTTCGTATTCTGATTTACTTTCAAGTACTTATCGATAAATCTGGATGGATATCCATTTCGCATGACGATCTTCCATAGTTTATCTAATTCTTCGTCGATAGTATCACTCATGCAGATTCTTCTAATTCTTGAAGATGGTTCTCTTTAGCGATCAATTTATAGGAAGCCTACTTGGAATGGACAATATTTAAATCAAAAGAATCTGCACGAGTGATACCATTGACTAAGACCTTGTTTATGAACGTTGTTTTCAAAGGTGATATGGCAGCATAGATCCTGTACAATCGGCTGTCCAGATCACTGAAGAAGACATTCTTCTCTGCAAAACTGCAGAACAGCTTCTCTAGTCAACAACTCATTCCGGAGTGTGTTAAGGACAAGTTACCACTTTGGGACACCTCGATGTGTGTCTACAAATTTACTTGCTCCTTCCTGTGGAGCTAGTTATATAGGCAGCACAAAGCGCACGCATTCCAAACGTATCTCAGAGCACTATCGTGCCTGGTTGTCGAGGGGAGAATGTATATCAATTAACAGTTCAATTCTTGAACATTTGGTCAACTCTGAACGTAAAGTTAGACCAGAATATTCCTTGAATGTCATTTATCGTGTCAGATGGAATAGTTGAAAAGGAGTAGGCCTTCGACAGTTGTGCCCAGCGGAGGCACTAACCATTCATCAACTCAAGCCTGATCCCTGCGTGCAAAAGGAGTATGTTCTATCGCTCATCTTACCATGGTCTTAACACTTTCATTACAGTTAATTAGTTTACTGTTATTGTCACCTTCATTATGACCCTTGTCTCACTCTTCACCTTCTCATCTACCAACAATTTTCACCTTGTCAAACTCCTCGATATTCCTACTGTGTTAGATTATTACGCAACTACTTTGCAATCTTGGTTCGGTTTTCTCTTTAGCACTAGGTTGATGATGTAATTATACCCTATTGCTTTATAATAGACTGTTATATGTTTATGATATATACATGAATACGATTGTACAGCTTTAGAAAATGAAATTGTCGAAACAGAAAATTTTCTTCGCTGAATTATCTCTTCTCTATGACTCAATCGGCATGTTTCGTAGTTGAAATAAAGAAGAGAAAATAAGCATATTCACTAACTTACATTAACAAATTTCTCCAATTCTTCAGTAGACATTTCTTTCACAGCATTCACAACAGATTTATAGTCATTCTTTAAGCGTATACCTAATGTTTTATGATTTAAGATACCACGAAGTTGAACCCCATAACGATGTTTATCGTTGGTTGTTGTCAATGCACGAACATTCAATTCCTTTCAAGGTAAGAAATAGGCATATAGAGAAGTAAAGGAGCGAAAAAAACACAAGGAAAATGCTGTATAAACATACAAACTTGAAGGTGAAACTTAACAAGAAGCATCTTACAGGCGAAACATAACTGTTTCAGTTGTTCATAAGGTGAATTGGTTTAATTAAACGACAAAGATCAAAATAGTGTTGATGAAGTGGCTATTATGACTCAGTGATCTAGTGGGAAGCGATCTAACTTTTGAAGCAATTCGTTTTGAGTTCCAGGATGACTGGGGACAATATCATTCACTGACGAGTTGAAACCTGTATTCTGCACTCCACTTGGGATCACTGGACAGCTGTTTCACTGTAGGGATCGGATTCTGGACCTTAAGGATTCGCGGCCAGCACTCAGTGGCAACGTGCTGGTCGTGGAGTTTGTAGGTCCTCAGTTTGACCCGCGGTGGGACGGGGTCATGGGTTCGCACTGCTGAGGAGTCTCATAATGCGATAAAAGAAGTGCTGTCTAGTGCTCTCAGGTTTCCAATATCTCTCCGACTAACCTGAAATCAATAAATCACTACAAACCTCCAAACTGGATTCATCTAGTGCTTAAGTAGTGTCAATCCATTAAGAATATCTACCCTCTCCATTCTCATTCAACTTTATCGCTATGGTGGTTTATTTCTCTTCATCTGACATCCAAAGGAGTGACTTTATCAGAGAAGACTCCTTAGCAGATGTAGATGAAGATGGTGATAAAATAAAGAGTCTATAACCTTTTGTTTTTCTCATGGGTTCTGAAGGCTGAACCTTCATTGGTTGTTGTTAACTTCTTTTAATTCACCAATGAACTGTGTTTGTCAAGGTCGTTTAGAGATGTATATACTCAGCATTGATTATTGTTGAAACAGTCTATATTCTCGTCCTGCCTTTGCGTGTCATTGATACTGTTGTTGCGGTAAAAGATGTTCTGATCACAGATTAGAGTAGATTCTTTTACGCGTTAGCTTTGTATCACCAGTAGACTGCTAGGTCACATTTACCGGTCATATGAGTGATATTAGTGTGGTGTCCAAAATGAATATTTAAGAAACTTACTTCAATAATATAACCTTGTGCAGATTTCACATTTTTCAAAACAATAGGATTAGAATGAATAACAATAGCTTCACGTAATGGTGCTTTCAGGGGTAGATTACACCGAGTACGTATTATTCGGCCTAATTCAACAGTAGATTGCATCCATGCGACAATATCTTCAATTTCATGTGAAATCAATTCTATTTTTGGTTCAGGAGCTTGTAAATAATGAACTGAATCTGGAGCACCGGTTTCAGATGAATAACCTGGTAGGAGAGAAGCACCATCTGAAATAAAGTAGGGAAAAATGATGGGGGTAAGGTTGAATTTATCCCTTATTAAATAAAAAATACATGAACGATCATTATTACTATTATTATTTGTCCTTTGGGCTCCAAGTAAAACATAGAGCTTCAGTAGCACGTCGCCATTTCCATCTCTTCTCTCCAGTCTTTTTAACCTGGCTCCACCGCTGCCAGTAAACTTTCATTTCTTCCTCACCTTCGGATGTCCCGTCATCGCTGCTCTACCTCTTCTGTCAACTTGTTGGCTTTTGCCTGTAGATCTTCGAGTTTGCACGACATTAGACATAAATCACCATCAGCGAAATCCAAATCTTCTAGGAACTTTTCCTCGGTCTAGCGTATCCCCTTCTTCTCTCTCTTCACTGTTTCCTGCATGATCCAGTCCACCACACTCAAGATTATTGGTGATAGTAGGCAACCTTGTCTTACTACTTCCTGTCTTCACTTCACTTCGAAGGCATCACTGAGCTTCCCATTGTGAATCACTTGGCATGTGGCGTCTTCATATAGTTGCTGTTGAATGAGGTTGATAAAGGTTTGCAGCACTCACTGTGTAGTGTTGAAGCAGCAGCTGCCAAATCACTTCTCGGTCGACACTGTAGAAAGCCTTTTCAAAGTGTATACAGTTGAGGTAGAGAATTGACTGCCATTCTATACTCTGTTCTATGATGATGCGTAGCGTTGCAGTTTGATCCTCAGATGATTTATAATTCCTGAATCCAGTCAGCCAGCATGTTCCGGTCATGATTTTGAATCCAGCGCATTTTTTTGTCTCTGCAGGATGATGCGGCTTAATATTTTGCTTGGGGTGGACAGGAGCATGATTCCGAGCCAGTTCTTGCAAAGACTTAGGTCGTTCTTTTCGGGATTTCTTATAAATACGTAATCATTGTTTGTTTTTGATGACTAATGGCTCGTAAAAATCACACTCCACTAACGTAAGAATAACCTGCTTCATACATTACTAATTTTCTAGTTACTCTATGGATTATTTACCTCTTTATTTCTAAAATATCTTCATTATCTACATGATTATTGTTTATCAACCGCCGACGACCATCACTGTTGGAATGGTATTTCGATTGAATTGTCAACCTGGAGATAAATTAATGCAGAGCCAGAGACAAAGACCTAATTGAAAAGGAATATACATCTGTTCACTCAATCAGTCCTGCTTCTAAATAACAACCAATCTAATATTGTCTAATACTGATTGGTTACGCTCGCTACTGAAGATCAGATGGCCAGAAACAATAAGCAACAAGGAACTCTGGCTCGGAACGAACCAACCAAGAACCTATCACGCAACAAATATGCAGGAGGAAGTGGAGATGGATTGGGCATACCCTGAGAAGGCCGACTGGGGACATAACGAGTCAGGCCAGTCACTCGAGTGGAATCCCCATGAGAAGCGACGAGTTGGACGTCCGAGGGTGACATGGAGGAGATCGTGCGAGGAGGAAATGAGAGCTTCTGGGCTGTCGTGGAGCCAGGTTCAAAAGATCTCAGAGAACAGAGGTCACTGGAGACGTGCTACTGAAGCCCCATGTTCCACTAGGAACCCAAGGGACTAATAATAATAATAATACTGATTGGTGGATAATTTCTGTACACCATTCACTAGCAATTTGGTCACTGACTTAAGAAACTGTTTCATAACGGTACACTTTGATGCACATGAAGCTCAGTTCAACCTAGATTTCATGCTTCTTCGGAGTTGTCAGTAAGGTGTATTTGAAACGTTGGTGTAACTGATGCCCCACTTGAGATTTAAATGCCTGTTGTACAGTGTTGTAGTCATCAACGTTACTACTGAACTGTTTCAGCCGAGAATGATCTGAATGCAGGACTGGATTAGATACACTGATTGATTACTGGAGAAGAAGCAAATTATTTACACTTTATACTGGGTGATGATTGACGGTGAGATGAAAATGTTGACTGTGGCCGGATTCGAACGTAAGGTCGCTGGTTCGAATTCGACTGCAATCCCCATTTTCATCTCACCTTCAATCATCACCCAGTACAAATATTTCTAGTCTGCCAAACTACGGTTATCTTAGATAGTCAAATCATAATCAATTTATTTACGTCTAGTCCTGTGAGTTTCTTCCTTGAGACAGAAAACCGACACATTGTAACAAGTATCTAAACTTCAAGTCATCTCATCCAATACCAGTCAGTCAATGAAGGCAGGTTTAGTGATATGTTTATATGATAGAGCTAGGAAACTGGTTAGCGTTACTAGTAAATTATTATCCTCCACAGTTTATTAAGAAATTCGTACGAAGATACAACAAACAAAACGATTACAGTAATCAGAGTACGAATAACAACGACGACATCAATTGAAAGGAGTTCACAGCCTTCATTGTGTTACTCTACTAGAAAGGTATATCAGAAAGTTTATGTATGATCTTGAACAAATCTGGAGTTACCGTGACATTCCGAAACCTTAAAACTCACTCAGAGATAAGCTTTGTCGGTTGGTTTAAGGATTCGATAGAACCACTTCAGCAAAATAATCTAATCAAATTCCATGTAATGAATATGGATGAGGTGTAGTACATAGATGAAACTAGCCCGACTGATAGTGATCAGTTAGATTAACAGAACATAAGAAGTTAGGTAAATGTAGGATGATAGACCCGAATAAGACCAATAATTTTAGTAAAAACTCGGTTATTCCAACAATCACACACACAATAGGGTGGGGTGGGATAAAACCACTCTACTTAAGTCCAATATAATTAGGTGGAGAGAGAAACAGCTAACACTCAACACATTTAATAGGGGTGACGCTACACACACACCTCTATACCAGAGATATAGACAATTTTACTATCAATCAATAGAAATGAAGAATATTTCTGAAAGTGATTATGAAATTCGATGGTTTATTTTGCAATATGCCTACCAAATTGACACCAACTGTATGCAATAGAAATGTACCAGTTGAATGGTAAATCCTACTATCCTTGTTTATTACAAAGAAGGAGAGAGGATTAAAGTTGTTTAGAACATGTTTGGAATTTCTGGAGTTATCTTGGTATGACTTTAGACGAAGAATTGTATCCGAAATGTAATCCAGTAAATAATACTGTTTCTTCGCTGTGTGTGTGTGTGTGTGTGTGACATATCCAATGCATATACTACAATAAAAGGTTATATACAATTGTTGAGTTCTTATTGGTGGATAGTGGCTAGCAGTGGAATCTAGGAAATTGGATTCGTTCTATTTAGCACTCATCAACTGGATGTTGTCCCCACTAAAACTGGCTATCCACTATCTATACATAATATTAAATCTGAAAAATACCGGGAATATTGAAACATCCACAGATAAGACTATAATGTTAATAGTGGCCAGTCAATTCAAAAAAGGTTCAGCTAAAGAAAACCATATATAATTCAAATGAATCATTTGTCTAGAAAAAGAAGTGATCAACTCAATGTATCAGGATTGTCGTCCTAGTACGGGGACTCGTCAGTTGTATGAACTCATGACCCCGCCACGTATTTACCCATGACGTTTCAGGTTCTATGGTTAGCACGTCACCATCACTGACAAGAGTAGTGAAATATTGAATGTTGGAGACAAATTTGAGGGCTCAATGTTTTCTTGGGAGCCAAAAAACTTGAAATCCCTAAGTTTGACTCCTGGCAGCGTTTTGGTGCACAATAGGTGAAGAATCCTAAATACGACAAAACAGCTGTCCAGCCATCCAAGGTTTTCAACGGTTCTTCTGATATTCCAATGTGCTATATTCTTTCACTTTATCATTCTACTCGACATGGTATCTGTTTCCTTGTCAGAATATTCACTAGCTGATCTTATTTTTCGATGCTGCGCTATATACTACTTGTATGGAGTTTTATAAGTAGTATTCACCAACTAAAGTCATCTAGAGAGCTATCAAAACTAGGACGTTAATGATGAATCGCGGGTAACCGTGGAATCCAGGATGTGCATTTCGTCCTACCTGGGGCTCGTCAGCTGGATGTACCTGCCTCCCAGTGAGTGATGTTTTCCCCACCGGGATTCGGACTCAGGAGCGATCGGTTCAATCAACGACGGTATCATTTAAAAACGATTATACTAGAAACTATTCCCGTCGCACAAGAAGTGGCTATCGTGGCTCGGTGGTATAGTGGATAACTCGCTGTCGTTTGAAGCTACCGCTCACGAGTACGAATCCTGGTGGGAACAACATCACTCACTGGAAAGCAGGTACATCCAGCTGACGAGTCACAAATGGGACGAAATGTGCATCCTGGATTCCACTGCTAGTCACGATCGATCATTAACATAATTAGAACGCTGGCAATATCGAGGCATCCACACAGGAGCCCATATGCTAATACAGGCCGATCAATTCGGTCCAATCAACAACAGTATCATATAAAAACAATTATACTAAAAACTAGGATGTACTCAATAACAGTTCCATCTTAGTTTTAAATCCTTCAATAGTCCAAACATACACTTTGGAACCTCAAATGTAGTTGAACGCATAACATTGAACATTGTATTGAATGATTTATGACTTTGTTCGTTATATATACAAAATCTGCTTGTTGTGTAGTTGCCTCAATATTTCTGTTTTCAGCTTCTCATATAAATGATGGATGTTAGTTGGCAGTGGAATCCAGGATATGAGTTTCGCTCCTAGTTAGGGCTTGTCAGCTTGATTTACTTGCCCCCCCCCTTCCCTCCCTGCCAATAGGAATACAGTTACAATTGATTTTATTGGTCATTCAAAAACAATAGGAAGCGAGTCAATAAACTGATAACTAACCTTTTAAATTGTCAGTGTAATCCAAGTAGCCTTTCATGTATTGATATATAAACTCTGTCATAAATGGAGTGAACGGTGACATCAGACATGTCATTTGATACAGTACTTTTAACAAAGTGTGTAAAGCAGCTCTCCAATCATTCTTATCTTCAACAGCATCTCCCTTTGTTTTTCAAATTAAAACGGTAACACAAAAAAGTAAATCATAGAACAACAACTCAGTTAACACTTGAAAAATTATCCAATAAGCATAGATAAATTAAATCTATTGAATGAAATCGAGTCGAGTTGAAGTAAAATCTAATCAATAAAACACCACGTCCACAATTGCGCAGTCATACAACTACCTAGCTGCTGCTTAAACCTTGGTAGATGGAACGATGTTCGAACCCCTCGAGATCCAAACGCTGAAGGTCATCTTCACTAACCAATAAGCTACAACTCCATAATCGGTTGTATAGGGGCTAATTATGACAGCCAGTCTAGGAAGTAGTCTCTTCCACCTACCTAGACAACATCATCTCAACTACAGTCAGCACAGATGAGGAGGTCAAAGCCACAATCGAAAAGACAGCAAGACAGGCTTTCCTCCAGTGTCGAGATCTACTACACTCAGCATAAAAAACAAGATACGGATTTTCACCACTAAATCAGTCAAGTCAGTGCTTCTACATTGTTCAGAAACTTGACGTGTCACGAAAAGCATTTCCAACAAACTGCAGACATACGTCATCAACAGATGCCGTCTACGCTCGCTCAATACCAAATATCAGATGAGATGGCCAGAAAGAATAAGCAACAAGGAACTCTGACTGGCTGGCAACAAACTAATGAACCAAGAACTCATCGACCAACATGTATGCAGAAGAAAGTCGAGATGAATTAGACCGGGCATACACTGAGAATACTATTTCGGGACATCAAGCGCCAGGTCAGCCCGTCAAGTTTAACCCAAAGGGGAAGCAACGAGTTTGGCGTCCAAGGCGAGGGTGACATGGAGGAGATCATGTGAGGAAAAAATGAAAGCTTGTGGGCTGTCGTGGAGTGGGGTTGAAAAGACTGGAGAGAAGAGAGTGAAATGGCGACGTGCTACTGAAGCTCCATGTTCCACTAGGAACCCAAAGGGCAAATAATCATAATAAATCAAAGAAGGTAGGTTATAGGAAGGATAGCTGAGTTATACACAATACCTACCTTCAAACGTTTACGATTCATTCTGACGTACCAATTCACCAAGTGATCAATAAACTTTACTAACCGCGGTACAACTGTATACAGACGATAGGCTATGAGAGAAAGTAAAAAAAAGGGGGGAAATAAGCAATACTGATCACAGTTTTGTGTTATCTAAAGCAAACGGAAAGAGATATAATCATCGTAGCAGATGCTGCAATATAAGCAAGATAGATAATACTAACACTAATAGTTATGAACAGCTAGAGGTAGGTAGCATAAAGCAACTTTTCACATACATCACATTCATTGAAGATTTTACTATGAATATTGATTGATTGAAGTTCACTATATATTACATAGTCTTTATAAAGATGCGTGAAACAATGGCTTCATTCAACAGTGATGAAACATGCTCAGTTTTCTATAACCTTTCTAAACAATGTAATCAGTTCCTTGCAGAGCTATATAACTTATTGGTTCAAAGGGATGACTTTCAACCAAAAAGGTGACGGGTTAGAAGGCCACCTCACCTATTAAGGTTTAAGAAGCAGCTAGGTAGTATCATCCCTATCACAAACAATAGGTGTTACTTATTACCTACAACTGTAAGAATGTGTATATGGTTGCTGAGTGGGTCAGTCCTCTGATAATGATATCACATATATTCCTTAAGGAAAAAAAGACGAGACTAATAATACTTGGAAACCAGGAGTTCTTTATAGACTACTGTTTCATCAGCCGAATCCGATGTTGACTAATCATAGAGTACAAGATAGTCATATTGATTTTAATCCGGTGTTCCAGGCGTTTGTGTAAACTTCCGATTGGTGTATCATCTACTTTATAGAACATCTCAATGATTTCAGACTTCTTTATTGCCCATAATAAATTCTGATCATCGTTAAGTGGAGCTACTGTCTCACTCTAAATTGTGCGTTGTAATTACCGAGTCTTGAGGTTGTTAAGCAATCGCTGCATAAACTGATAAGTAAGAGAATTAATATGTACCATTCTATTCCCTGTCTGATGGAACAGGCTATTCAGCATTAGGAACTCTTAAGAAATATACAAGAATCTAATGTTGAAGAGCGAGACACCTCTTAGAAAATGACGAATAGCTTAACTCTCCCTATTTTTGTATGGCATCTTGCAAGAACAATCAGTGTTCACTTAAACTCTCAGGAAACACAATGGTTAGTCAGTCTTGAATCAAGCTCGATTCGATGGTATTTCAGTCGCAGTTATAGTAAAAATGGATAGTGGCTGGCAGTGGAATCCAGCTTTATGCGTGTTTCGTCCTATTTGTGACTCGTCAGCCGGATGTAAATGTCCTTCTCTAGGGAATGATGTTATCCCTATCGGGACTCAAACTCAGGACTGATGGCTTTAAACGCTAGAGTGTTATCCACTACACTACCCAGCCATGGATAGCCGCTTCTTATGCAATGGATATAGTTTTAGTCTTGTTGTTTGTATTATACCATCGATGGTTGGACCGAATTGATCAGTCTCTCTTGGCATATGGGCTCCTGTGCGGAGGGCCTTGGTTTTGACGGTGTTTCTTGATTATAATTACATCCAGCTGTGTGTAGGCTAGAAGGCTACTTTCATCTTCTTTCTGAGTCAGCTCATGTGACGTTTGCGACAGTAGGATATCATTTGGGACACAGGAACTCAAGACAATCATAATATGATATAGATGAACAGAGGACAGCTGGGGGTGGGGAGGGGGAAGAAAGCGGAAGGCGAAGGAAATCAACTCACCCGAAAGTTCTTCATGTACAAAGAGTATTAAACTTTGTGTAAATGATAAAATCCAACGATCCATAAAATTATTTGTCACCGGAAATTCATCCGGTTTCACAATGAAGGATTGATGAGTTGCTTTTTGATATGGTAAAATTGAAGACTAAATTACAAAAAGAGAAAAAAAAGAGAGAGGTGAAGTTGAGAAGAGAAATTAGTAGTATGATTATGACGACCACTATACCCAAATGTAAACTTTTGCTCAAGGACTGGTATACAACGGTTCCCTGGTGAACTGACCGTTTCACTCACCTAAGAAATAAGGATTAGTTCTGGTGGGACAAAGTCTTTACAAGGATTAAAAAAAAGGGGCGCGATCGACTTTCACTAAATCACGCCATTTGTAGCATCGGTGTGATATCCGATTATCAATTGGGAGTCAAGCGTACTGCCCTACCGTTTCTCTCTGTTTGACCGACATTGCCTTCGTAGTATAGGTCGCATTTCGTGGTGTCACCATTTGAGTAACACTGAAGTTTTAGGGAGGAGAGGTAAGATAGTTGGTGTGGTTATGAACCTTCATCGACTAAGATGGCTGGCTTGGACATGTATAACGTACGTCTAACCACCGTATGTCTCGTCATACAATGTTAGCCGAAGTAGGTTCAGGCTGAAAAAGGCTTAAAGCAGCCAGCCCAAAACATAACATCATTGTATGAAGTCTTAATTTGAGGCATATAGGGAGATAAAAACTAGTTGGTTGAAGTCCATGTGACAATATAGATCCGTGGTTGGAAACTCTAGGTGATGATATGACTCAGAATCGCTGTCAGTGGTGCACAGATCTATCCATGCATAATCTTTATGAACTAGATCAGATTGGTGAAGTAATTGAAAGGTTACATAGCAGCTTGATATATGTCACAGTGATGGCCATCACTTCAAACGGTAAAGTGTCATCCACCTCTTCGTCTAGCAGTGAAGTAAAACCAAAACGCAGTGAATATTCAGGCAGTATCTAGAATTCCACATAGGAGACTATCTGTTAACAGAAACAATCAATCCTTTCGATGAATTCAGATAATGTAATTAGAGGATTCAATTCATCTGGTAAGATGTATGCACCGTACATTTCGAACAATATGAATATATAATTGGATGTCATAAGACATCTACCTATCTTATAGAATGACTCTAAACGCCTCACTGTTAACAACAATTCAAAATAGTGAAACCCATACTGTATTCTCCTTCAAAGAATAACGATTTTATATCGTACTAATCCATACAGAAGAGAAAGCAGAGATCTGTCCTCGTCAAAACAATATTATGCAGATACTCCAAACGTTCTACAACACACACGTCACAAGTGTATAAAAAATCATGTCATATCCTACTTTATATACTAGTTTATAAGTGTGTGTGAGTAGATACACACTATTGACAATCATCATCAATATCAACATAGGACCAAGCATTACTGCGTAACGGTCCGAGTCGCCACAGCTCATATCACTATATCAAGTAGAAAGGCAGTGAGGTGAAAGACTTCACGTATTGGTGCCATGTTTTAGTCTGACCACCTCGGGCCGTCTTCAGCCTAAATCTACTTCGGCTAACATTGCGTGACGAGGCAATCGGTGACGACTAGGCATACGTAGTACGTGTCCCAACCAGCCAGCCATCTCAATCGATCTAGGTTCACAACCATATCAACCGACTTACCTCTTCTCCCTTCCTAAAACTCTACTCCTGACTTCTGCATTACTCACATGGTGTGGTGACACCATGGAATACGGCCTATACTACGAAGGCAATGGTGGTCAAACACCTGAAGCTAGTCTTCTCATGTCTTCCAACTTCAATGGTCATGTTTCACAGCCATACAGTAGAACAGACCACACTGCTGTGCACTATACGCGATCCTTAGTAGACAATCGGATATCACGGAGGCGCTATAGGTGGCGTAAATTGGCAAAAGCCAATCGAGACTTTTCTATCCATCTCATAGGAGTGATAATTGAACAAGTATGAATAAAACAGTTAGTTCATAGGATTACAACTGAAACATTCATTATATATTAACTTCAATATAACAACAATAGAAACGTCTGATCACTTGGCAAGTGATATTTTCGGAGTTCTATAACCCATCCACTCTGGATGAGTAGTAGTTAGGACCATTGAATACATAAACTGAAACGTGTATGTGTCTTCTTTGAGACCGATTTAGAATTTATTATGTGTAATGAAGCACCAAACAAAAGATATCACGGCGGCGCCATAGGTAGTGTAAATTGGCAAAAGCCAATCGAGCCTTTTGACAAGCTCAGACTCAAGCAGGCGAAACACTCGTCCAGCGTTTAGATCACGCTGGCTTATGAAGAGTTGTCATGTAAGCTGAGAACAACTAGTAGTGTCCATCAGTGATGCCCATTGTTAGCGTTCGTATTCAACTTTGTCATTATCATTACTATTACATTATTTTGTGTCCCTTAGGTTCTTAGTGGAACATAGAGCTTCAGTAGCACGTCACCATTTCACTCTCTTCTCTCCAGTCTTTTCAACCCCACTCCACGACTGCCCACAAGCTTTCATTTTTTCCTCACATGATCTCCTCCATGTCACCCTCGCCTCGAACGTCAAACTCGTTGCTTCCCCTTTGGGTTAAACTTGACGGGCTGACCTGGCGCGTGATGTCCCGAAATAGGAACCTCAGTGTATGCCCGATCCATCTCCACTTTCTTCTTCTGTATATCTGTTAAGCGATAGGTTCTTGGTTGGCTTGTTGCCAGAGTTCCTCTTCGCTTATTCTTATTATTCTAGCCATCTATTCTCCATCTTCAGTATCGAGTGACGGCAGCGGCAACTGTTTACGTATAGTATCTAGTTTGTTGTAAATGCTTTCTACAATGCGCAAACTCTCTCAGCCATCACATAGAGGCACTGACTTGACTGATTTAGTGGTGAAAATCCGCATCTTGTTCACACTTTATGCTGAGTGCAGTGGAGTGCAGTAGATCTCCACACTGATTTCAGATTGATGAAAGAAGGCCTGTCTTGCTGTCTTTCTGATATTGGCTATAGCATCCTTATCTGTGTCTGAGCCGCCGCCTGTAGTTGCGACGATGCTGACTAGGTGGGTAGGTGAAGGAGATAACTCCCTTCAGACTTCTCCCGTTGATGGTGATTGGTGCTCGTTGTTGTTGTTGATGGTGGTTGGGGATCTTCAACACCTGTGTCTTCTCTACGTTCACCTCAAGGAAGTCCCGTCTTCTCTGCCTCTTCACTGACTCTTCTGCCAACTTGTTGATTTTCGCTTGCAGATCTTCGAGTTTGTGCGACATGACATATTAGACATAAATCATCATAGGCAAAATGCAAATCTTCTAGGGTGTTTTCATCGGTCGAACAGCCAGCGCATGACCATCTTACAGTTTCTTGCATGATCCAGTCAATTCGAGTCGACCATACTCACGAAGATCATTAGTGATAGTAGGCAACCTTGTCTTACTCCTTCCTGTCTTCATTTCACCTCAAAGGCATCACTGAGCTTTCCATCGTCAATCATTTGGCATGTAGCGTCTTCATCATCATATAGATGCTGTTGAATGAAATCGATAAAGGTTTGTGGAATTCACTGTGTAGTGTTGAGGCAGCAGCTGGCAAATTACCAGTCGGTCAGCGCTGTCGAAGATCTTTTCAAAATCGCTGAAATTGAAGTAGAGTACTGCAATTCTATGCTCTATTATATGATGATGTGTAGCGTAGCGTTGTGATTTGATGCGTACATGATTTGCCTTTTCTGACGCCAACCATTCTGTCCCGATCCAACAAAACAACGGGGAATAACAAGTATATTAATAAATAGTAACATTCTGTCCCGGTCATAATTTGAATCAAGAACCTTTTTTAGTCTCTTCAAGATGATGCGGCCTAATATTCTGCTTGTGGTGGACAGGGGTGGGGAATGATTCCGCACCAGTTCTTGTTCTTGTAAAGATTTAGGTCTCCGTTCTTTGGGAGTTTGGCGAGGCAGTCCTTCTGCCAATAGACAGGTACCCTACAGAAGACTCGTTTGGCATTAGCTGACTGGCTGCAGTCCGTACCTACAAGATTTTGACCATAGATATCCTCGTAGCGTTCCTCGGGTATGGTGAAATCATGATGAGAGAAATGTTGAGGACAGATAAAAGGTACTAGGCAAGATAGATGAGTTTATTGATTGGAAATTTATCGGCTATGGTGATTTGGACATGTACTGCGTATGTCCAGCGACCGCCAACTCTGCAATTGCTGATATGAGTCTTGTGGGGGCGGGGGGGGGGGGAGATGTAGACTACTGACTGTCTAGGATACTTGAAACAATAGAAATCAGTGGTTGGACAGTCTTAGTGAAATGGTTGAAAATCGATCGTAGTAGCACAGATGTATTCAAAGCTTGAATACTTTCACTAACGATCTCACTTCTTTTTTTTTCAATTTCTTCTTGTCGATTTCTCTCTTAGTTTTGACGCTTCATCTATGTGGTACGGACACATTCATATCGGCTAGTTGAACAATGGATCGCTTTCTAAAACTTCGTAGATCCAATCCAAAAAGGAAAAGATAAAATATCGGTTAAAATTAAAGTTGTAAATCATAAAAATTATAGCAACACACTTTGAAAGTAAACAGAAGGAATTACCTCAATTAAAAAACGTAATGCATTACACCATGGAAGAAATACATCTTTAACAACTTCATGTACACCAGATTCATTGAATCGTAGATTTTGAGCTCGAACAACTGGTGAATTGATTAAATATAAGCGTAATGGATCAGCTCCATGTTTTTTAATTACTTCCACAGGATCAGGATAATTTTTTGCACGTTTACTCATCTTCTGTCCATCGCTGAATTTATAGTGAAAAAGAAACGCATGACTAATCAGTGCATTTATTTATTTATTGAGATGAATAAGGATTTTTAATGTAGAAGTAGTATTCATCATCGACATATCCACAGAGCGACATGGATTTCATCAGACACCAGACACACACTAAAAATCAAATCGACTTCATCTCAATCTCAAGAAAGTGGAAATGCAGCCTACTGGATACAAGGTCAAGAAGAGGAGCAGATGTAAGTTCATACCACTCACTGTCTAGTACAAGGAACTTAACTTCAAAATCAACTTGAAAGACTTCAAGGAAGTTGGTGATAGACCACAGTCCAAGTACAACACCCAGAACAGAAACTGAAGGACGAAACTACAAAGCACATGTTCACAGCAGCCATCAAGACAAAATGGGAGATATCGAGCAACATCCCTGAAGAAACCTGTGTGGAGGAACACTGGAACTCTTTGAAAGCTATGTGGAAAGAAACCTGCATAACCTTATTAGGAAGGAAGAAGAAAGAAGATAAGGAATGGATCTCGATGGACACATGGAAGCTGATAGAGCAGGGAGAGGAGGATGGTGAAGCAGAAGATAAATCAGTGCAAGGATGCTCAACGACATGAGGATCTGAATACAATGTTCAAAAAAGTACATTGGACAAAGAAGTGAAGAAGAGTGCACGGAAAGATAAAAGACACTTCTACGAAACACTGGCAAGTGAAGGAGAACAGGCTGAGAGCTGGTAGGAGAGACCTGACAACATTGTATCAAATAACCAGGTTACTATTTGGGAAGAGGTCAACGCAGATGAAACCAATAAAAGATGATGACGAAAATTTAATTACGAAAGAAGGAAAACAAAGGAAACAATGGCCGATCACTTCAAGAAGCTCTTGAATCGACCACCGCCACCACCTGCACTTCGTCCAGAAATACCACCTACAGCCGCTGAATTACAAGTGAACACCAATCCTTCAACAAAAGCAGAAGTCCTGAACGCCATAAAGCTACTGAAATGTAGGAAGGCAGCAGGACCAGATAGAATCCCACCAAAAGCACTGAGAGCAGACGCAGGGACAACAGACGACACGCTTACACCACACCACACCACTATTGAGGAAGGTTTGGAAGGAAAGGTAGAGTATCTGGCGATTGGAAGGAGGGCTACCTTGTCAAACTGCCGAAGAAGAGCAACCGAAGTCTTTGCAAGAACTGGCACGGAATCATGCTCCACACCTGTTCATCCCAAGCGAAATATTATACCGCATCATCCTGGAGAGAATAAAGGATGCGCTGCATTCAAAACTATGACAAGAACAGGCTGACTGGATTCAGGAAGTACAAATCATGTGCAGACCAAATTGCAACGCCACTCCATGCACCACCATAGAACAGAGCATAGAATGGCGATCAACTATCTACTTCAACTTCACCGACTTTGAAAAGGCATTCGACAGCGTCCACCGACAAGTAATTTGGCAGGCAGTTGCTTCAGCACTACGGAATACCAAAAATATTTATCAACTTCATTCAACAGCAGCTATATGAAGAAGCCACATGCCAAGTGATTCACAATGGAAAGCTCAGTGATGCTTTTGAGGTGAAGACAGGAGTAAGACAAGGCTGCCCACTATCACCCATGATATTCCTGATTGTGGTTGACTGGACTGGATCATGCAACAAACAGTGAGGAGCGAGAAGATGGAGATACGCTGGACAGCCGAAAAGAACCTGGAAGACTTGGATTTCGCCGATGACTTATGTCTGATGTCACACAAACTTGAAGATCTACAGGCGAAAACTAACAGGTTGACAGAAGAGGCAGGGCTGCGAAAACGGGACTTCAAGTGAATATAGAGAAGACAGAGGTGATGAAGATACCAAACCAACACCACAAACAACAAGCTCCAATCACCATCAACGGGAGAAACTTAAAGGAAGTAACCTCCTCCGCCTATCTAGGAAGCACTGTTTCAACTACATCCGACACAGCCACAGACGAGGATGTCACAGTCAGAATAGGAAAAGCAGGACAGGCGTTCATTAACCTGAAACCAGTGTGGAGATCTTCTGCACTCAGCATGTGGAACAAGATGAGGATTTTCAACACCAACATCAGTCAAGTCAGTGCTTCTGTATGGTTCAGAAACTTGGCGCATCTTGAAACGCATTTCCAACAAAATAAAGACACTCATCAACAACTGCCACCTACACTCGCCCCATACTGAAGATCAGATGGCCAGAAAGAATAAGCAACAAAGAACTCTGGGAACGAACCAACGAAGCAAGAACCTATCGCTCAACAAATATGCACTGGAACCAAGTTGAGATGGATTGAATTGAGATACATTGAGAAGGCCAACTGGGGACGTCAGTGTCTGGCCAGGCCGTCGAATGGAATCCAAAGGGGAAACGACGACATTGGCGTCCGAGACGATGGTGACATGGGGGAGGTGGTGTGAGGAGGGAATGAGAGCTTGTGGGGTGTCGTGAAGCCAGGTTCAAAAGATTTCAGAGAACAGAGTTTACTGGAGACGTGCTACTGAAGCCCTATGTCCCATTGGGAACCCAAGGGACAAATAATAATAATAATTCAGCATGGACTGACATCAGTTCGGGGACCATTAAAAATCTGGGAGCACAGGACAGTTGTTTTGTCCGACTAGTATGGAACTCCTCAGCACGACCTGGCTACAGATCGAAATCAGGACGTTCAGGTTTCACGGCGAACCCGTTAACCATTCAACCACTCGATCGGTTCCCAGTGGTTAACAATTTACAACCTCTATCAATTCACGACATAGCGTGACTATCACTGAAAGTCTTCAGTTAGCATCCGCTTCACTTACAACTGGTTGATCTCACAGGTCACAGCCTCTCATTAGAGCTTCGTGATTTCCATCTGGAAGTAAGTCATTAATGAGCACTATACAGTAATATATTTTTCGAGATGAATGTGGATTTATAATTTAGAGGTATTATTCATCATTTCACAGTAGGTAATGACTAATCGGGTGGGAATAATCAAAGGAAACCTGAGAGCACTGAAAAGCTGATGCGTCCCAGTATGGAACTCCTCAGCAGCGCGCACCCACGACCTCACCCCGCCAGGGATCAAACCCGCGACCTGTGGGTTCCATGGCCAGCACGTTACCGTTGAGCCAGCCACTGCGTCGGTGGAATCCAATAGTCCATATTTCCAACTTCTGTTAGCTCACGATGTAGCGAAACCACCACCCAATGTCATCGTTGAGTAACTGTCCTCACAACCATCAGGCTTTGCCCCCACCGGTCACGACTTCTCATTGGAACTTCGGGAATACCTCTCGAAGTTGGTCACCAATGAGCACCAGTTCAATTAAATTTCAAGGGAGTTGTGGGGATTTGGAAATATTTCAAGTTGTTATTCATTGTAGACAGATATATCGTCTGATGCTCAAATATTCATCCTTCCAAACTAGCAATCTATTCGTTCTCATCCTTGATGTCTCACAACCCCATTGTACTTTTCATAGACGAAGTAAAAAAAACTTTTCCCCACCCTATTTTTGTTCCATTTTACTAGCACAACTGAAGAAAGCCTCTCTGACTGATTTGCTTATTCAATCACCTGTATTACCTCGATCTTCGCTTCATATCACGATGTAATTGAATGATTGTAAACGTTACCACCTTCTGTACCTTAACCCGGAAATATGGACCGTTGGATTCCGCTGACCCACTGGCTGGCTCAATGGTAACGTGCTGGCCACAGAACCTGAAGGTCGCGGGTGCGCACTGCTGAGGAGTCCCATACTAGTCGGACGAAACAACTGTCTAGTGCTCCCAGGTTTCCTTTGTCCCTCCAACTGATGTCAGTCTACGGTGAATAACAACTTGAAATATTTCCGAATCTCCACAACTCCCTCAAAATTCAATGAGAACTTAATGTCAGCTTCATAATTTTGAAGAAAAGGATCTTCTAACAAGATCAAAACGTTGATGCATAATGCACAAAATACTTGTTTATTTTGTTATTTGTTTTAATTTACTACAACGGGATTGCACAAGTAAATATACACCTTATACAATAAATCATACTAACTAGGTGTCCAAGTTTTTTTCAAACCATCCAGTTCATTGTTGGTAAGGATACCTTCAAAATTATTAAGATGACTTTCAATTAGTGAGTCACCCACTTATCAAGGTTTAGGCAGAAGATAGAGGTAATGTCATTAACACACCTTATACATAACAGGTGTACCTCATAGCCTATTACAGCACAAGGTTACTGTGTGGATTCTAAGGTTTGGTGCATGACAATATTATACAACGGCTTTGGTAAAGGGGAATCGCAGTTAATCAGTTGAAAGTTAAGCATATCCAGACAAAATAAACTTTTTTAAAAACGACTATATAATGCAGTTATATGATTATAATTTAGTTGGTTGTGGCTAGCAGAGGAATCTAGGAAGTGCGTTTCACCCTCCACCCCAGTGAGTGACGTTATCTCTCCCCTCCCCCCGCCTCAGACTCGAAATTCGTACCATTACAACAACCCAAAATTACAAGTATATCAACAAATAGTAATAACTAATGACCGTTGTACAAACTGTGGTTCTTCTATCTCAGTGGTCGAGTGGAAAAGCGTCTAACGTTGGAAGCTATGCGTCACATTGGAAACAACATCATTCACTGGGGTGCAAGTACGTTTAGCTGACGAGTGACTTCCAAATAGGACGTAACGCACATCCTAGATTCCATGGCTACTCACCAAGTAAACTTTTAAAACACAATGAATATCCATGTAATATCGAGGTATCCGTCATAGGAACCCATTTGCCAACAGGAGGCCGAACAAATGCGACCCAGTATAACAATGGAGAACTACATATAATCCTTTTGACTATTTGAGACAGCAACCGTGGTTTGGTAGACTAGTATTCAAACTGGGTGATGATTGAAGGTGGAATGAAAATTCGAACCACAGCGGGATTCGAACCAGCAACCACTGGACCTACGAGATCCTACTGCTGACCCCTCTCCAATTCCGTTACATTTGAATTGGGATGAGAAGTCCTCACTAGACAGCAGCCAGTGTGAATACAATCAAACAGTAGAAACGTGTCACGAATTCACATGGTACTCGTCGGGCAAAACCCCAATGGTGATTGAAGTGATATAAAAATCTGGTTAGCAATCAGACGTCGTAGTTCAGCTGGTAGAACATCGGACCGAGAACCCAGTGGTCGCTGCTTCGAATCCGACAGCGGTCCAAATTTTTAACTAACTTTCAATCATCACCCAGTATCAATCATACATAAATCAACAAGTAATTATGTCACAGTTTATTATTGTTCATGTGAGTGAGATATATAACTACACACAGGGAACATGAATTCAGTTGAGCTACAACTCAATTGAATAAAACAACTAAATGATAAAGTGGGTTAAAATTGATGATCTCTCATGATTTAGTGGAAGAAGGCTTGAACTAGTCAGCCCAATCCACCTACGATTGTCCATCATATGTCTGTCTTTGTCACATTCAATGACATTCTGATTACGTCACCTACAATTTTTAGACCTTGGACACTAGGAATGACTTGAAGGCTACCACCCTAGAAATGATTAAAATAACCAAACAGATTCTTTTACTTCGGCTAGGAAGGTAAATTTTCATAAAAATCAAGAAATCTAATTGGTTATTTCAGTTATCAGATAGGTGATCCTAGTACAATCACCCTGCCCATTTCCCACATTATTATTATTATTATTATTAGTCCCTTGGGTTCCTAGTGGAACATAGAGCTTCAGTAGCACGTCTCCGGTGACCTCTGTTCTCTGAGATCTTTTGAACCTGGTTCCACGACAGCCCACAAGCTCTCATTTCCTCCTCGCACGATCTCCTCCATGTCACCCTCAACTGGGACGTCCAACTCGTCGCTTCCCATGGGGATTCCACTCGAGTACTTGGCCTGACGCGTGATGTCCCCCGTCGGCCTTCTCAGTGCATGTCCAATCCATCTCCACTTCCTCCTGCATATTTGTTGCGTGATAGGTTCTTGCTTCGTTGGTTCGTTCCCAGAGTTCCTTGTTGCTTATTCTTTCTGGCCATCTGACCTTCAGTAGCGAGCCAGCGTAAGCAGTTGTTGATGAATGTCTGTAGTTTACCGGAAATCACTTTCGTGACGCGCCAAGTCTCTGAGCCATACAGAAGCACTGACTTGACTGACGTTGGTGTTGAAAATCCGGATCTTGTTCCACATGCTGAGTGCAGAAGATCTCCACACTGGTTTCAGGCTAATGAACGCCTGTCTTGCTTTTCCGATTCTGGCTTTGACATCCTCGTCTGTCCCGCCTGTAGTTGAAATAGTGCTTCCTAGATAAGTGAAGGAGGTTACTTCCTTTAAGTTTTTCCCGTTGACGGTGATTGGAGTTTGTTGTTGTTGATGATGGTGGTGGTGCGGTATCTTCATCACCTCTGTCTTCTCTATATTCACTTGAAGTCCCGTTTTCGCTGCCTCACCTCTTCTATCAACTTGTTAGTTTTTGCCTGTAGATCTTCAAGTTTGTGTGACATCAGGCACAAGTCATCGGCGAAATCCAAGTCTTCTAGGTTCTTTTCCGCAGTCCAGTGTATCCCCCTCTTCTCGCTGCCCACTGTTTGCTGCATGATCCCGTCCACCACAATCAGGAATATCATGGGGGATAGTAGGCAACCTTGTTTCACTCCTGTCTTCACCTCACTTCAAAAGCATCACTGAGCTTCCCATTGTGAATTACTTGGCATGTGGCATCTTCATATAGTTGTTGAATGAGGCGGAGAAGGGTTGGCGGTACTCCGTAGTAATGAAGCAGCTTCTAAATTACTTCTCGGTCGACGCTGTCAAAGGCCTTCTCAAAGTCGATAAAGTTGAGGTATGCCCATTTCCCACATAGTAGCTAAAACTATGCATTATATGGTCTAACAGTTCGACTTTTATCTTCTCTCTGAGTCAACTGGTATGATGTTTAGTGGTAGTCAGATCAATTCGAACATACTAATTACTCAGGGAATAGTTAGGATCAGCATTGGGCATTTCTCTCACAGGAAATCCAAACAGAGGTTAAAACAAGAAGAATCAGTCAAACCCATAGATTTAAATTGGCGACGGGGTCAACTTAGGAACATAACACATTTCAATGTATATACATAAGATAACTCAAATGGTATAGAATACAAAGGATAGTCACCTGTTGATTATCGCCTGTTGTTTTACAGTCGAAAGAAGAAAGAAAAACAGTTTCCAAGGGTTTCGAACGATACATTTCGTTTCACGTTCAGTTTCACTTAGTAGCTGATAGGCACGGATAAAGCATAGACAAGTGCAGTGATATATTAGACAATTAGGCGTAGAACTATGACTAACTAGTCCAGGAAATCGATTCCCAACCATTAGGTTATGGGTTCAAAAACCGATTCTCGTCTACTGAAGTTTGGACAGCTAGTTCGTAAAGTATATGAACATGTATTTGGTTGCCTACTGTGCAAAAGATGACTATCAAGGCCTTGGTGAACTAGAGGGTAACGTTTTGATGTTTGAAACGATGGCCATTCGGTTCCAGTCTCAGCGGAATGTAGGTACATTCAGCTGATGAGTCTCAAATAAGACAAAAAATATGTCCTAGATCCACCCGCTAACCATCAGGTAAACAATGATTCTATATTCTTCGTGTGATGTCTTAGCGGTGCCAAGGCTAACAATAGAGAGTTTAGTGGTTGAGTGTGTTGACCACTTCACTTACCAGGGAAGTAGGATCAACCCTGGTGGGTTAGTTGCCGATGAAATCTCTGCACGGATACAAAAGGCATGATTGGCTTTTGCCAACCTACGCCACCTATGGCACCGCCGTGATATTCGTTCGCATGTACTGCACAGCAGTTCGCTCTGTTCTTCTGTATGGCTATGAAACATGGCCAGTGCAGGTGAAAGATATGAGAAGGGTTCAAGTGTTTGACCGCCGTTCCCTTCGTAGTATAGACTGTATTCCATGGTGTCACCACACCAAGTGAGTAACGCAGAAATCAATGGTAGAGTTTTAGAAAGGGAGGAGAGGTAAATCAGTTGACACGGTTGTGAACCTTCATCGACTGAGATGGTTGGGACACGCACTACGTATACCTAGTCACCGTCTGCCTAATTACGCAACGTTGGCCGAAGTAAGTTCAGGCTGCAAAAGGGCTCGAGGTGGCCAGACTAAAACATGGCACGAATTTATGAAGTCTCTGACTGTTGGTTTGAGCTGTGCAGGGTTATGCAGACTGGGTGGTTGGGGTCCGTGGGACAAGAGGAACAAGTGGTTGGAGACTGACTATCGGTGATGATGTGGCCAAGAACCGATGTGAGTGGTGCAGACGTATATACATACACACATTATCCTCATCTTAATGACGCTACATCGAATCTCACCACTTTCTCATTCTTCCTTTCTCTCCTTTAGTACTTTATATTTCTTTTGACTAAGTTTTCTGATCTTCATTTTCCACATCACTGCCCTCTTTACTTGACGTGGTGATATGAGGTGCAGCAACTCGGACCATTACACAGTAATGCCTAGTCCTATGTTGTTGTTGATGATGATGATGTGATGTCTTACGAAATTATATCATAATTATTACACTCAATGATGCAGAAATGCACTACACACTCCAACAGGAGTTGAAAACAAGAGTAAAATATATAAAAAACTTACGCAGCTAAACAATCCCATTGACGATTAGATTACGAAACGGTGGTTGATCAAATAAAGCAGTTGATAATACCAATAGGGTATAAAACCAACCACGTGTTTGATCGATACCTTCAGCGATGAAATCCGCTGGAAAACCTTCATTAAAAACTTTTGTATTCTCAAATGGATAGTGTATCTATACAAAGCGCATTAATCAATAAAAAATATATATATAAAGTACATAAATAAAAATAATTGACTTTTAAGAAAGTAAAAACATTATTTAAAAGTAGTATTCATTATGGACTGACATCAGTTGGGGAACCATTAAAAATCTGGGAGTACTGGAGAGTTGTTTCGTCCTAGTATGGGACTCTTCAGCAGTACGCACCCATGACCCGGCTACGGATCGAACTCAGGACGTTCAGGTTTCACGGGGAACGCGTTAACCATTCAGCCACTGGGTTAGTATAGTGCTCATTAATGACTTACTTCCAGATGAATATCACGAAGCTTTAATGAGAAGCTGTGACCTGTGAGACCAACCAGTCGTAAGTGAAGCGGATACTAACTGAAGACTTTCGGTGATAGTCACGCTATGTCGTGAATTGACAGAGGTTGTAAATTGTTAACCACTGGGAACCGATCGAGTGGTTGAATGGTTAACGGGTTCGCCGTGAAACCTGAACGTCCTGATTTCGATCTGTAGCCAGGTCGTGTGCGTACTGCTCAGGAGTCCCATACTAGTTGGACGAAACAACTGTCCTGTGCTCCCAGATTTTCAATGATTCCCGAACTACCAGTGCATGATGAATACTACTTCGAAATTAAAAATCCCTATTCATCTCAAAAATGAAAAACATTATTCTTACATCTGACAAGTAGACTTTTATATGTACTGTGCAATAGCCAAGCCACCGCCATCTACCTCAATGGGTTTATTGTGACCAGATTCAAGACGTAGCGACCGTCAATGCAGTCTCCGACTCTTGGTTTGGGTCGTATTAGATGTTAGACTACCTGGTTACGACCAATCAGACGACAGAAATAAGAGGATTCCTGATGAAATAGCTGGATATCAGTCACAATGACGTAAATGTGTCTATTCTTTGAAATCTTATAAGGCTGAAATATTTACACAAATCGTTTATTCTCTGACACAACCTTACCTATTTTGATATAAGTCTCTTTTTCTATCCACCTGTTCTTTGCATCCTACTGCTGTGTGTGTGTGCGCGCGAGAGGTCCTGCGCTGATTCTGTCTACCTGTTGTATGATTCCGTTAGGTTTATATAATAAAAATTTTACAATTTGTTATTCATTGTAGACTGACTGACATTAGTTGGAGGAACAAAGGAAACCTGGGAGCACTGGACAGCTGTTTCGTCCAACTAGTATGGGACTCCTCAGCAGTGTGCACCTATGACCTCGCTAGATTATTAATACTGTTTGCTATGGACCTATTACACCTAGATGTGTAACGTGAAGTGTTTAAGAGATCCTCTGGAATACGTCCTCAACTATTACTTTTACCTGGTAATTAGGCGAAGAAATAAATGCCACTGAACCAAAAGGTTATTGACGAATCAGCTGTAACCTTGTTATGCTGAAGTTACCTAAGATGAAGAAAATGTTTGTATTTGAAGGCAATACATAACAGAGACAGACAGAATCAACGTAGAACATCGGCACATAGAGTGATATCAAAGTGAATAAAGTAGTGTGAGAAAATAAAGTCTGAAGATCAGGGATTAGCTGCAGAAGACGTCAAAGAGTGAATAGATCTGCGCGACTGTCACCAATTTCCAGCCATTTCATCGAGTATTTAATTACTGATTTTTACTATCTCGGAGACCCAACAAGTCAAGGATTTCATCAACTAGTGTCACACTGGTTGCGTGTTAATACATTCATAACAATAGCTGAGTTGACTTCTAGATTATTGATCTTAATTAGGTCTGTTATTCTATATCTAGCTAAATTCCTATGTTCCGATAATCTAACTGGCTTCGATCCGCCAGTTTGATCTATATACTTGACCTTACTCACAGTCATGACATGGGATTTGATAGATTAGATTATCCTGCTTAATTGGTTCTATCGGATTCTTAAGCCGACAAAGTTTACCTCTGAGTGGGTTTTCAGGTTTAAATACCACCCTCATCCCAGCACTGTTGAGGATTCTACATAAAGTTTCTGAGGTATCCTTCTTATAGGATAATACAATGGAGGCTGTGAACTCCTTTTTACTCATGTTGTCGTTATTAGTCGCACTTGTGTGACTGTTATTTTTTTCGTTTCTAGTGTGTCCGTAAGAATTTCTTAATAAACTGTAGAGGATAATTATTAACTATTAATGCTTCTTGAAAGTGTTTCAATTCTTTGTTTAGGTTCTTGCTCTGACTAGTCAGTTTTCTAGCTCTATCATTTAGGCATTTGACTAATCCTGCCTTCAATGACTGAAATTGGATGAGATGACTTGAAGTGTAGATACCTGTTGGAAAGTGTCGGTTTCTTGTAGATGGTTGTATCCAAACCATTGACGTCTGTCCTTTGTTTTATTCTACAATCCAACATAGGTAATTCTCCTTGTTCATTTTCTACTTCATAAGTGAATTGGATTACGTCCATTACTGAGTTCACGTCATGTGTGAGGAAATTGTCGGATATGATCCGATTTCAACACATCAGTAAATGTGTCATCCACATATCGCCACCATATTTTTAGTCTAGGACTAAACATTTGTAATACCATGTTTTCCTAACTATTCATAACCTCGTCGACCAACTTGCCTGTCTCGCTGCCCAGTACCCTTCATCTAACTTCAACATTGCTCACACGATGACTCCATCAAACAGAAGCACTGATACGAAGACATCTGTATTCAAAACTCTGTCTTCTACTTTTAATAGCCATGTCTCATAGCCCTATAACAGGACAGAATATATACATATATATCATACGGATCTCTTTACAATCTTGTCCCGAATCATTTCTTACCGGGTTTTTGGCGTTTTAATTAGCTTCTAGTCTTTGTCACGAATAGCATTTACCACAGATCCTCTATACACATGACATTTGTTCATCTATTTACCTGAAATGACGTATTTCTCTCTCATTACAATCCCGTTTTATGCATGAAAATGATACAACATCATATAAAAAAAAGGATGAGAACCAAGTATGAAGATATAAGTTATAAAGTTTACTAAAAAAACAGGCAAAAGTGAGACTAACCTGAGCATATGGCATAGATCCGGACTCGAACCAACAGTCGAAAACTTCAGAAATACGACGTAATACTCCACGTCCAGTTGCTGATGGAATAGTGATTGGATCAACGCTACAAACATGGTATAGCAAGGACAGCAAAAAATCCGCCACACAAAATAGCATAACAACAACATTATGAAGATATAAAGCGATGAGAAGTGGATGAGTAAAAAACAAAACATAATAAGAATAGTATGATTAGTAAGATAGTTCAGTAAGTTACTTTCGAAATGAAACATTCATTACTTTTCAGCAGCAGAAGGTAGGAGGGAGCTACAGCATGGCTGCCACTCCCCAAAGTGGGAAGTGGTGATGCTCCAACAGGTGCTAACTCGAGACAACTACCCTTCTTTCGATGGCGTTATGTCGTACACTGACCACCCTTTCACTTCTTCCATCCAGTCCCAGGGTTAGCAAACAATGAACGGTATGGAAGCCGTTGACATGACATACGTAACATATGTTCAAGATACCGAAGCCTGTGTTCCAAGATGACTTCACTTATTGAATAACGATCTGTATCATGACTGAACACAAGCTGTGGTACCTCAGGATTACTTACATTATATTGCCACCAGTAGTCCTACGGAGAGGTCACGTTTCACAGACGTAGAGCAGAACTGCTCTCACCGAAGCGTTGTAAACCCGAGGTTTCACAGTCAGACTAACGTCACGACGGCGTCAAAAGTAGTTTAGATCGCCATTTGGCACTCTGGCTTTCGATATACCGTTGGAAATCTCACCATCAACACAACTACTCAGATACACCAACAACTTTTTCGATAACTTCCTACGGCTAATTATCGACAGTGAGAGAAAGCATTAGTTCTCGCCAATCTTGGCAAGAATACTTTACACCATACTTACGGAAACTAATCGCCAACTGATTAAGTATGATTTGAATAGTCTGTGTGTTATCGTACAATCCAACGATGTCGTCCGCATATTTGAGGCCGCTCTCCAAAACTGTCTCAAGAATGTCATCGATGGCGAAGTTGAAGAGGAATTAAGAAAACCTGCTTAACCCTAGTGTGGGTTTGAAACAACAGAGACAAGTGGTAGGCACCATTCTAACAGACAATTTCAGAGTACATCTCTATTCAATGAAATGAAGGCAGCCGTAATGTCAACAAACACAATGATTGTTTCATTTCAAAAGCAATTCAATGAAGAAACTGATAATTACAAAAGTGTAAAATGAATGAATTAAACATTCCAACGGGGAACTTACAATTCTTTGTGTAAATCTTTCACTTCCACACCGGATAATAGTTTTAATTCTGCTATGGAACCGATACAGACTACTTCTTCTAAATCATCACTAGCCCATATTGGTATTGGTGTGCCCCAAAAACGATTTCTAGACACAGCCCAATCACGTGCATCTCGTAACCAGTTGGCAAATCTACCTTCACGTACAAAATCTGGTACCCTATAACATTGAATAAAGTGAACAAAGAAATAAAGTATTATCAGTGTGGAGATCTACTGCACTTAGCACAAAGAACAAGATCCCGATTTTTAACACCAATACAGTGTTATGTTTTCGAACGCTAATAGTTATATATTCCGAACGAATATAATATACACGCTTAGTTGACAGCTAACTTAGTATGCAAAGAGCCACTGACTGCAACCTTGGGACGAATAGAAAGAAAACCGAAGCTGGCAGATAGGAGAGTTTATTACTCCGAGAGTATAATATGATATGATCATCAATCCCAAAACACATGAATAAGTACACACATGAAAAATGACCTTGTCCTGAATCTGAGGCAGAGGCGTAGTAAGAGTAAGATTAACCAATCAGTGAGGGGGGGGGGCAGGAAATAGACTACTACTCATACCGTGAAAAATGGTGCGAGAATGACACGTTAAAATGTTCAGATCAGTAACAATGTTTTATACAAAACTGGGGTATCACAACATACAGTCAAGTCAGTGCTGCTATATGGTTCAGAAACTTGGTGCATCACGAAAAGCATTTCCAACACACTACAGACATTCATCAATAGCTGCCACCTACGCTCGCTCAATACTGAAGATCAGGTCAGATGGCCAGAAAGAATAAGCAACAAGGAACTCTGGGAACGAACCAACCAAGAAAGTGGAGATGGATTGGACTGGGCATACACTGAGAAGGCCGATTGGGGATATCACGCTCCAGGCCGTCGGGTGGAATCCAAAGGGCAAACGACGAGTTAGGCGTCCGAGGAGAGTGTGACATGGAGGAGATGATGTGAGGGCAGTCATGGCGACAGGTTGAAAAGACTGGAGAGAAGAGAGTGCAATGGAGACATGCTACTGAAGCCCTATGTTCCACTAGGAGCCCAGGGGAAAAATAATAATAATATAATGTGAAATTGAGACCGATAGTAGTGGATGAAGCTGGAGAAACAGTCTATTAGGACAACAAACATTTACCAATTAAGTTACTGAATTATCTATCTCTAGAATGATGACTATCTGCTGTGAAATACCAGTGTATATTAGCACTGAACAACAAAACAAAAGAAGAGGCAACGAAACTTAACAAAACTTGAAAATTCAAATCTGATTAAGCCATGAAATGACAGTAACATAGTAACTGTTAAATTGAATGAAGGTAAGTCAACTGTAGTTATGAAAAAATTGACACAGTCAGGAATGAAATTAAGAAATCTGCAACCCATTCGATACGTCGACTGAAGTCATCTCTACGTGCGTTTAAACAGTCTAAATTAATGTCTAAAACTAATAATCCGAGGAGAATTTATGGTACTATCAAAGTTCATAAACCAGATTATCCCATTAGACGCACAACTGACTTCAGAAATACCCCCCCAACAATATGAACTAGCAAAGTAGTCAGCATCAATACTGTGTCCTATTAGGTACCGTTTAAATTCCAGACTAGTAAACTCTTACAAGTTAAAATGAAGACATAATGACGTATATATAGAAGGTGAAAAAATGGTTAGATTCAATGTAACTAGTCTTTATACTAAAATATCAATCCATATAGCGCTAGGGGCAGTCAGGAATCAACTAAATATTGACTCAGAGAACTGAGATATCGGTTGATGAGATCATATTAGGCGTATTACTTATCCCTGATCTCCATAGTCTTCAATTTTCAGGACAAAATATTTAAATAAGTGGAAGAAGTAGCAATTGGATCACCAATATCCCCAATCGTAGCAGACAAATTTATGAATAGTTGGTGTTGATATGCAAATGACACATTTATTATTTTGTATTGAAATCGGAATATATCGACAATTTCCTCACACATGACGTGAACTCACTCATCGACGCATTTCAATTCACTTACGAGAAGGTAGAAAATGAACAAGGAGAATTAAACATGTTGACTTGCAGCATACAACGAGGGACACACGACAGTTTGGATATAAGCATCTACAGAAAACTGACATCTTCCAACACGTACCTACACTTCAAGTCATCTCATGGAATGTCAGTCAGTCAGTCAGTTAAGGCAGGTTTAGTCAAGTGTCTAAATGATTGAGCTACAAAACGCATTAGCGTTACTAGTGAATTATTGTCCTTCACAGATTATTAAGAAATTCGTACGAAGACCCAACAAACGAAACGATAACAGTAACACGAGTAGAAAGGAGTTTATAGTCTGATTTGTGTTACCATATAAGGAAGGTGAATCAGAAACTTTACGTAGGATTCTCAATAAAAGACATAAGCTTTATCAGTTGGCTTAAGGATCCGATAGAAGCAAATTAAGCAAAATAGCTTAATCCACCAAATTTCATGTAGTGACTGCAAGGTCAAGTACAACGGTCAAACTGGTGTGTCGCGGTCAGTTAGAATATCAGAATATAGGAATTTAGCTAACTATGGAATAACAGACCCCAATAAGTCAATAATTCAGAGAAGAATTTCGGCTATTGCAATGCAGTGCATTAACAACACAACCACACATAATAAGGTGGGTAGGATGAAATCACGCTACTCAAGTTCAATATAATTAGGTGGAGAAAGAGAAGGGGAACTGATTACTGAATGGCTCTTCATCGAATCAGCCGAAACCCAACACGTATACCAGAGATATGGAAACTTTTACTACCGTTAAATTCAAGGAACATCCGGTGGGTGAAAGGATGTCGAAAGTTCTGTGTGTGATCATACATTGAGGTATGATTATCAGCAGTGATAATTTATGCCGCCATCAAGTGAACAGGTTAAAACTGTGTAACTTACTGTGTGCTGTATATCAATCAAATTAAAAAAACAACCTAATCTGGGATGTAGGTTAAACGCTGCCACAGATATATTTCAAGCTTATATCTTAGAACACATTTGGTCAGGCTTCTACAGATGTGTTACGGTTTGACTGACATCTTCCAGTGGTTGAATATTTTGACTAACCTTTATTTTCGAATACCCTCTCTTCATATCCACTTGTTCTTTGTATCCTGCTGTCAAGTATGGTGACTTGAAGTCATGCATTTCTGTACAGGGTTCTGTCTTGATTCTGTCTGTCTGTCTGTCTGTACCGCGCTCCATCTACTGAGATTCAGGCAGTAGCCATTATCGTGTTATTCATCTTCATTGCCTACTGTACAAATGTTCACAAGGTTGTTGAGTGAATTATTACTTTTCTTATAGACAAAATATAAGGTCTTGCGTTTCGCGCCTGTCAAATGTGTCAGAATCAATCTGCAGCGATTCTTAGTTTGAGGTGGTTAAGGAGTGAAGTTGGGGAAAGCGTTGGTCACTTCACTTAGTTGTAGAGTTGCATCAACCCCCTTGATGAAATTTTAGGTTGGATACAGAAGACAGGTTTTGTAATCGCCAACTTACACCATCTGTTGTGCCGACTGGTAAGATATTCGACTATTTATCGAAGGAAGAGTATACTGAACTGCAGTTCGATCTGTCCTGTTATACGACTGGGAAACATGGCCATTGAAAGTAGGTCTTTGACCATGCGTATTTAGTGGAATCACTGCGTGAGCGATGTAGAAGTAAGGTATGTAAGGTATGTCAGTCGATGAGGTTATGAACTTTCATGAGCCATGTAGGGAGGTGTCGATTCTTGGTGATATAACTGATATTCTGTCACAGTGGCGGAGATATCTTCACTCTGTGACTGACATCTTCCAGTGGTTGAATATTTTGACTAACCTTTATTTTCGAATACCCTCTCTTCATATCCACTTGTTCTTTGTATCCTGCTGTCAAGTATGGTGACTTGAAGTCATGCATTTCTGTACAGGGTTCTGCCTTGATTCATTCTGTCTGTCTGTCTGTACCGCGCTCCATCTACTGAGATTCAGGCAGTAGCCATTATCGTGTTATTCATCTTCATTGCCTACTGTACAAATGTTCACAAGGTTGTTGAGTGAATTATTACTTTTCTTATAGACAAAATATAAGGTCTTGCGTTTCGCGCCTGTCAAATGTGTCAGAATCAATCTGCAGCGATTCTTAGTTTGAGGTGGTTAAGGAGTGAAGTTGGGGAAAGCGTTGGTCACTTCACTTAGTTGTAGAGTTGCATCAACCCCCTTGATGAAATTTCAGGTTGGATACAGAAGACAGGTTTTGCAATCGCCAACTTTCACCATCTGTTGTGCCGACTGGTAAGATATTCGACTATTTACCGAAGGAAGAGTATACTGAACTGCAGTTCGATCTGTCCTGTTATACGACTGGGAAACATGGGCATTGAAAGTAGGTCTTTGACCATGCGTATTTAGTGGAATCACTGCGTGAGCGATGTAGAAGTCAGCTGAAGCTTACTAGTTAAGTAAGGTATGTCAGTCGATGAGGTTATGAACTTTCATGAGCCATGTAGGGAGGTGTGGAATCTTGGTGATATAACTGATATTCTGTCACAGTGGCGGAGATATCTTCACTCTGTGACTGACATCTTCCAGTGGTTGAATATTTTGACTAACCTTTATTTTCGAATACCCTCTCTTCATATCCACTTGTTCTTTGTATCCTGCTGTCAAGTATGGTGACTTGAAGTCATGCATTTCTGTACAGGGTTCTGCCTTGATTCATTCTGTCTGTCTGTCTGTACCGCGCTCCATCTACTGAGATTCAGGCAGTAGCCATTATCGTGTTATTCATCTTCATTGCCTACTGTACAAATGTTCACAAGGTTGTTGAGTGAATTATTACTTTTCTTATAGACAAAATATAAGGTCTTGCGTTTCGCGCCTGTCAAATGTGTCAGAATCAATCTGCAGCGATTCTTAGTTTGAGGTGGTTAAGGAGTGAAGTTGGGGAAAGCGTTGGTCACTTCACTTAGTTGTAGAGTTGCATCAACCCCCTTGATGAAATTTCAGGTTGGATACAGAAGACAGGTTTTGCAATCGCCAACTTTCACCATCTGTTGTGCCGACTGGTAAGATATTCGACTATTTACCGAAGGAAGAGTATACTGAACTGCAGTTCGATCTGTCCTGTTATACGACTGGGAAACATGGCCATTGAAAGTAGGTCTTTGACCATGCGTATTTAGTGGAATCACTGCGTGAGCGATGTAGAAGTAAGGTATGTAAGGTATGTCAGTCGATGAGGTTATGAACTTTCATGAGCCATGTAGGGAGGTGTGGAATCTTGGTGATATAACTGATATTCTGTCACAGTGGCGGAGATATCTTCACTCTGTGACTGACATCTTCCAGTGGTTGAATATTTTGACTAACCTTTATTTTCGAATACCTCTCTTCATATCCACTTGTTCTTTGTATCCTGCTGTCAAGTATGGTGACTTGAAGTCATGCATTTCTGTACAGGGTTCTGCCTTGATTCATTCTGTCTGTCTGTCTGTACCGCGCTCCATCTACTGAGATTCAGGCAGTAGCCATTATCGTGTTATTCATCTTCATTGCCTACTGTACAAATGTTCACAAGGTTGTTGAGTGAATTATTACTTTTCTTATAGATGTTACTTTCGACTAATAATTAATTTTATCCCTGTGATACAATGTTTTTAGGCTGAACTTATTCCTGAAGATCCGATTGTGATTGTTGCAGTGACAGATTTAGATGCCTATCATAATGTGGCTAGTCCAGATGGTAGTTATGTGAATTTCATACAGTCAACTATCAAACAACCATTCATTATAATGAGACAGTCCTTGAATGCAAATAATGGGGACAGGGTAGCGGTGGCGACGGCTGCAGCTGCAGCGATTATGAAGAGTGCCAGTGTTGTTATACCTGATGGCTGGGAATTAGGTCGGGAAATTATCCATGAAACAGTTTCAGTAAGTTGAAATGTATCTTTGAAAATGAATTCACATTTTACTATCTAAGTTGAATTCTTAATTAGTTAACCATTTTTTGTACACAGTACAGTACAGTCTAGTACACTTCATCATGTATGTTCCTCACTAGACAACTGTGTATCGTGTTACACTCCATGCCCAGCATATCTGAAAGGTATTCGAAAACCAACATTTGGACTTTGTGGTTTTTAGTAGAAAAGAAGTTTTCCAGTTGGTATCCATCATGGACTGGTATCGGTTAGACAAGCATTGAAAACTTGAGAACACTGGACAGGTGTTTTGTCTTAGTGTGCCACTCATCAGCAGTGCACATCGAGGACCTTTAACTTTTGAGGAGAACACGTTGGAACGAAGATGTTTTCGCTTAACTAACTTCTGTATCTAGAAACAGTGAACCACAATATCTTTTAGTTGTTAAGATGTTTTTTTAAATAGGAAAGGAAAGTTGGTTGTGATTCAACTTATGCCAACATTGTGAGTAGTCACGAAGTCGATGTTTACAAGATTCAAAGGAGGCAGCCTGAACCATTTCTGTAAGGAGAACATTCCAAGATATATAACGTCTTAGGAAGTCGAAGTCATGTCTAGTATCTCAGCTGGTATGTTTGAGGTCTAACTTCTGTGTGTGTGTGTGTATGTCGTCTGAGATTATTGTTATAACATAGGTTAAAGGAGGTTGTCAGCGGCGTTTGAGATATTCTAATCCATTATCGAATACGTTTTAGACTTAATTTATCTTTTCGAAATGAAGATGAGAAAAGGGAAGTTGTAAGGCGGTCAGGCTATCCTCCTGAGCTCTAGATGAGACCATATGGAAGCTTCTGAAAATTTTGGTGGAATCATCTACTGTCAAATTATTCGAACATTCGTACATCAAGTCTTCTTTGAGGTTTGAACTTGTATTACCTAGTGTTGTAGCCAATAGTGAACTATTCGGGTGGTTAGTAACCTCTGTGATGGTTAGCATTCTCGCTTGATGGTTGGTTGGTTGGTTATATGGCAAGAAAACGATGGATACCTTTCAGTCAGTACATAGGACTAGACAACATGAAGTTGGTTGTTCTACAGTGACTAATCACTGAACATTATTATTATTATTATTTATTATTGTAGTAGTTCAGTTTAACTGTGTAAATTACCTTAAAGGATGAAAATGTCAAGGTGCAGAATATTCTAACTCTACTAGGTGTTCAAATATGAATAAAGTTGGTTTTCTTTGGTCATCTTTGGCAAGTCAAACCGGGTAATTTTCAGAAATGCGTTTTTGGAGGGCCCGCTTACAACGATAAATATAGTCAGCTTCATAGGAGCATGTGAATTTCTAGATAAATACATAAATGTGAACATGAATGGTAGGTAGCCTATCCTTCATGTATTTTCGAATCAGACGATTGATGTCTCCTTTGAATTCCAGATTCATGATTAAGATTTTTTTTAAGAACTTTAATAGGATAAGGAGTGATTTGTTTCTTCAGATGTTCATCAGTAAATCTTTTACGGTATCCGTTATTTGATAGTCTTGTTCTAAGAGTTTCTATTTCAATATTCACCATATCCACTGAACAGATTTTATAGACTGTGGAACATAGCGAGTGAATGAAATACGACTGTACAGCTTGAGATAATGAAGTCGTTGAATAGAGAGGTGCTACTTCTTCTGCACTGATACATGCCTTACAGGTTTGTTCACTAACCAATGAGGCATACTCCATATTTGAAGGCTACGATTCTATCTGGCTAACCGAACCTCCACAAGTGAAGGAGGCTTCAAACACATGAGACCAACTTTAAATCAACCTGGTGCATTTTTTATATGTACCCGACTACAAGCCACACTAGTATTGTAAGGGTTTATCATATTATGCAGTTGCCGAGGTTGTTGAAGCCAAGGTGGGGTTCGAATACAGGACAAAACTAAATCGAATTAAACTAAAATCCACTCAACAACCTTGTACACATTCCCTACAATACGTCATGAGGTATAACCATTTGTATGAGGGTGAATAATACTACATGGATGGCCAAACTTCAATAGGTGGAATGAGGTTAGAACGTGTGATTCTCTGGTTGAAAGTTGACTCCATGAACCAATGGGCCAAACAACTCAACATGAAACAAACAAGTTGACAGTCCACACAATTTGAATCAGAAAGAATACAAAAAGTTTGAGGGAAAAGATCAATTCACGTTGCCACACACAGTTAAAAACAACACACACACACAGACACACACATACAAAAACGAAAATCTGAACAAAACAGATTGAGAAAAAGGTAGAAATCGAATGCCATGCAATTATGTAACACGAGGTTCTTAAGGATCAACAAAATTTGTAACTATTCACACACAATTGAAGAAAAATTGGATAATTTTTTAGTGTTCACATGAGGAGAGCATAAAGTTAATTATAACTGCATAACTGAACAAAAGAATCTAAGCAGCCAGTGAAAATGAAGATGCTTAGGTTATTTGGTTGTCAGTAATCGGCAAGACGTCCTATTTCATCAAGATTTCGAATTTGATGGCGTGTTTCATCCTATTTAGGACCCATCAGTTGGGTTTAAACTTGAATATAAGCTTGAAACATAGACAACATCAAGATATTCACGTAGGAGGTTATAAGCCAATAAGCAATGATCCAGTGCGATCCAGTCAACGACGGGAGAATACGAGTAACAACATGATGAATGAGACAGCTAAAATTTCATCATGATAGCGTAGATGTATGCAGTATTTGTCACCATCACTGATTTCTTTACTCTCTTTACTCATATAACACCTTGAGATTATCATACAAGTTCCATACACTTCCTTTTCTTTATATGATGTTGAAAAGAGCAGCGAATTGATGTATGGAAAAGAAGTTAAAGTATGATCAGTAGTTGGATCTTGTGGCTCAGTGATGTGTCACTGGCTTGAGTCCTATCTCGATCCATATTTCCATATGACTATCAGTTATCACCTAATGCTGTAGAACATCAGTCTTCCAAACAATGGTCATCTCATATAATCTCATTATTGATGCATTTCATTTCTATGTTGATATGTCTAGTCTCCATCTGTCAGGTGAACAATTTGTTCACCTCCGTCACGTCATCAAAGTCCTATAACGCTGATCTGTGTCAATCGATCATTTTTAAATGTTGTCACCAAGCTACAAAAAAAAACTAACCATCGTGATGCTATCCAGCTGTGGCTTACTGGCTGAGAGAGTTGACTTTCAAGTAACGGATTACACCTTCAAGGTCCGCTCCACCTACTGAGGTTTCAGCAGTCAAATGGTATGACTCACCCTCATTCCCTACTACTACATAAATATGCACAAGTCTGCTAACTGTATCATGATGTACTCAGATAGACGTTAGTTGGATGGAGTCGATCGACAGGAAACTTCTCTACACCTAGATTTCACCCAAGTTGGCATTCGTCAGAGAAACATATCTGCGACCTCGATGGAATTGATATCCTGTCTGAGACTATAAACCATGGTTACCCAATGGCTTTATACAATAACACAAAACCTACAATATAGAAGTAATCAAAGCATTTTTTTTCTACGATAGCATAACAAAATGAATAAGTTCACATCATTATTCACATACCATTGGCACTTGGCGTTGTTAGCCAACAATTTATCGACTAATTGTTCTACACGAATAAACCACGTTGGAATAGCTTTATATATCAGTGGAGTATCTGACCTGAGATTAAATAAACAAATTAGAAAAGCATGTTTAGGAGTTTAAAATTACAACACTATGAAGTTATCTACTGATGAGGTTTTAATCGCATATTAAAGGGTGCGAAGTCTCTGAAGACGTCACTTCATCATTCCGCCATCAGCTTCGATAAAAGTCCTCTATATCACAGATTATGGAAAGCCCAGTGACGCATTTGAACGCAAGACACGATGATGACCTTCCTGATCGTGGTCGACTGGAGTGTGTCATGCAACAGACAACTGTGAGGAGTGAGAAGAGGGGCATAAGCTGTTTAACCTATGAAAAGACCCTAGGAGATTTGGATTTCGCCGTTAACGATTTATGTCTAATATCGCACAAACTCGAAGATCTACAGGCAAAAATCAACAAGTTGACAAAAGAGGCAGCGAAGACAGGACTTCCTTCAGGTGAACAACAACAAGCACCAATCACCATCAACGGAAGAAATCTGAAGAAGGTTGTCTCTACCACCTACCCACCTAGGCAGCATCGTCTCAACTACAGACGGTGGCGGCGGAACAGATGACGATGTCAAAGTCAGGATCGGAAAAACACCAAGACAGGCCTTCCTTCATTAATCTGAAGTCGGTGTGGAAATCTACTCCACTGCACTCAGCATAAAGCGTGAACAAGATCCAGGTTTTTAACACTAAGCCAGTCAAGTAAGTCAGTGTTTCTATGTGATGGTTGAGAGACTTCGTGCGTTACAAAAGGCATTTCCAACAAACCGCAGACATACGTCATCAACAGCTGCCGCCTGCGCTCCCCTGATACTGAAGATCAGATGGCCAGAATAATAAGAATAAGCAACAAGGAACTCTGGTTGGCAACGAACCAAGAACCCATCACCCAACAAATATGCAGGTGGGAGTGGAGATGGATTGGGCATACACTGAGTAGACGGTTCGGGGACATCAAAACGTCAGGCCTGGTTCTCGGGTGGGACCCAAATGGGAAACGACGAGTTGAGCATTCCAGACGGTGGTGACATGGAGGAGATGGCGAGAGAACAAAAATGAAAGTTTCTGGGCAGTTGTGGAGCAATGTTAAAAGGACTGGAGAGAATAGAGTGAAATGACGAAGTGTTACTGAAGCCCCATGTTCCACTAGGAACCCAAGGGACAAATAAATAATATAAAAACAATAATACCACTGATTCCTATCATCTTGGAGACCCTAGCCAGGCAGTCTACACCTCTTTACACAGTTCAGATCTTAACAGTCAGAGGCTCTATGCAACCAACCTAATCCAATTTCCTCCAGTATGACATGTCGAGGTAAGTGGTGGCTCGGCATGCACAGTACATGTCCAAACTACTTAAGTCGATAAAGGTGGACAACCTAAAAAGTCGACTAAACTTCTTTGGATAGCACTCTTCGCCTGACTTCAACATACCTCACACGGTGATTCCCTCCACCCTGCTGGCCTTTTGTATCCCAATCGAAATTTCGTAAAACAACCAACCTGTTTGATGGACTGATGAATAACCCTTTTTGACATTTGACAGGTGAGAGTAAAACGTATGACAGCCAAATATACTCAGATTAGTGATCAACGCGTGCAGAAGACCGTGAATTGAATCAGTGTCTTCACCCTGGCAAGACAATATCGTCTGTATACTATTCCGAGTCAATCAAATGACGTCCAGGAAGTAAGATCAGTCGCTATGAAATCAGACATTCTATGAATGAAAAGGCAGTAATCAATCACTTATCAGGTGCATAAAGAAACTTAACAACTTCAATTGAACGTTATATTAATTATTTATCCCTAGGGTTCCTAATGGAATATAGGGCTTCAGTAGCACGTCGCCATTGCACTCTCTTCTCTCCAGTCTTTTGAACCAATCGCCATGACTGCCCTCACATCATCTCCTCCATGTCACACTCGCCTCGGACTCCTAACTCGTCGTTTCCCCCTTTGGATTCCACTCGAGGGCCTGGTCCATGATGTCCCCAGTCGGCCTTCTCAGTGTATGCCCAATTCATCTACAAGTCCTCCCACTGCATACTTGTTGACCAATAGGTTCTTGGTTGGTTCGTTCCCAGAGTTCCTTGTTGCTTATTCTTTCTGGCCATCTGATCTTGAGTAACGAGGGTGGGCAGTTGTTCAATTGAACATACTATAGAGTAATAAAAAAATATCGTAAAGCTTTAGACGAAATACATAAAAAGATACTTACCTCCAGCAAAATGGATAACTATGTGTTATTGTACTTTGATGTATTAAACGACCACGTTGTTTTAAGCTTTGACATATACACTTATCAGCATCCTTTACATACATTCCAGCGAAATCTTGAATTTCATCAGTAAATCGACCATTTGGATTGACAGGACATATCATTGTTGTATCTTTACTTATAACACCATTTATAAGGCAAACACGAAAATCATCCTATTAGTTTTTAGTTGATAACCAAGGTGGGGGGAGGCCATGAGAAAATCATAGTTGTTGTTTTGTTTGATTTAAAAAAGGAGAAAAAAATTTTTCAACTAGTGCATAAATGATGAAATGTAAATAAAAATCAAATTATTCGGTGACGGTTGCATTATATCGTGAGCTAACAGAAGTTGGAAATATGGACCATTGGATTCCACCGACCCAGTGGCTGGCTCAATGGTAACGTGCTGGCCACGGAACCTGAAGGTTGCGGGTGCGCACTCCTGAGGAGTCCCATACTAATCGGACGAAACAGTTGTCCAGTGCTCCCAGGTTGCCTTTGTTCCTCCAACTGATGTCAGTCTACGATGAGAGAGAGTGATTAGACAAAAAGCAGTTACCGTTATAGTGTAAATTGCTACACTATGATGGGGATCTGAGGGCGAAGTCGTACTGCTCCTAGCTGGATAGGGTGTGATAGCAGTAAGGTGTTTCCCTTGGATGACCAGCAGTGCCATGCTGATGCTGCCTGCCTTCTCAGTGGAAGGGGGGGGGGTTAGAAAAGGTCGGCCCCAAAAATAACACTCCATCATGCCCCACGATCTGCCGGGTCGGTGGTGTTGGTTCATTTGTCGTTTCTTTTCGACCATTCGGCCCCAAAACAACAAAGGTTCACAATAATCATACTCAAAAGTCTGAATGTGATAGGCCTCAAGCAGATGTCTGATGGGCTCTGCGGTCACATAAATCCCTTTCAGGTACCATAAGAAGAAATAGCCTTCCATAGTGTGAGCGGCCGGGAAGTGTTAACCGCCCTCACAACTCGATCGGCACTCAAGTAGTAAGAAACTACTTGGGTTGATCCACAGATTTTCCCAACTAGACACCGGACATCTGTTCAGGTCGTTTGGGACTGAATTAGCTTATCACTCAACGTGGACTAGTAACTTCTGGGGTTACTGACCCGCTGCCCTGAGGAAAACTAGATATTTAGTTCTCTCTTTTCAATGATAATAATCAAGGTTTGTAAAGTTTTTATGCTAAATTTATACACCATATAGTAGAGAACATGGAAACATAGTGGAGTTGTGGTTCCTTGGTTTAGGCACTGGATTTCCAACTAATGGGTCACGGGTTCGAACCCTACGCCTCTTAATGAAGTTTGGCCAGGTATGGCTCATTGCCTACTGCATGAATTCCATTCTGACGATGATATCACCAAAGCTCATGGAACACTAAGTGTTTCGTTGGCTAGTATACGAATGTAGACATGGTTAGTGAGCTACATTCCTTAGAATACAAGTTGAGTACTAGGGAATGGTTTCCTATAATCTCTATAAACAGACTTAAGAAACAATGAAACATCTAGTGGCACTTTTCAGGCATTATTAATGACGAATAGAGGATAGAAATGGGTGGGATTCAGGATACACATTTCATTCTATTTCGGACTCATCAATTGGATTTTACCTGTCTCCCAGTGAGTGATGTTTCCCCTCCCCCCCCCCCGCCAACTAAAATTGATCGATTCGGTTCAATCACTACAGAGACTTACAAATTATAAACATTAAAACAGAAATAAAATGAAACATAAAAATAATAAATACTACTCACTTCACCAAAATATGGAGCTTGATGTACAATACCAGTACCAACATCTTCTGTTACATAAGGATCACATAAAATACGAAATGCACCACTTTCTTTCTTCAGCTGAAGTATTTCATAGAAGGAGATTAGGGAATAGAGATAATTTAACCTTATATTAATGTTTTTTTTTAAAGATTTACGCAAGAACAATGAAACATAAATTGATGTCCAAAAAAAAGGAGGATTCATTGTACTCGTGAAACGGATGAGTAGAAATTTGTTTTTGCATTAAAACTCATCATACTACTTGTGAGTAGCGATTGTAAGTAAACTTGTAGGCTAAGATTTAAGTTTGGTAATATTCGTATCCAATTATGTAACAATAAAACGATAGAGAAGATGAATAGGTCAGCGACTGAAACGACAAGTCAGACAATCTGAGGAACAGTTTTTTAACTAGTCTCTGATCACTATTCCATTGTTCTTTATCCAATCGAAATACTCTTAGAACTGGAGAAAGCTGAAAATGACCTGAAATAAGGAAGAGTAGAAGAGCTAGACAGACTGGTAACAGAAAAGTGTTTAGTAAAGTAAACTGGTGTCAACTAGTGTGTGGGAGTTGAATATGATCCCCTCTCACTGGTCACAATCATTGACTATCCCAGCACCCTTAAGAAAGCCTGATTGATATAGTGTCTAAAATTCTAGGTTCTATAATCACTAGATGTCTGAGTAGAGCTCATGAATAGAAAGTTCGAGAGAAGCAGGCAGACTTCAGATGTGGTTAGGGTTGGGAATACACGAACACCTATAAACTTTGAAATAATGAAGAATATTGGTGTAGCCTGAAAGAATAAATTTTCTTGGTGTTGCGTTCTCTGAGCTGTCTGAAGTTTGTGCTCATGACTATGAAAGTTTCACGATAAAATCATTTAGCTCAGCAAGTACATCATCATCAAAACATTAACCGATGCCAAACACCGGCTATATTTCTTGACATGAAGACAGCGTTTGACTCCATCGATCATGAGGCGATATGGCGGTATCTCCCCCTGAAAGAGGTACTGAGTAAATACATCACTTTGTTGAACGCTCTTTACTCGAACATCCATGAGCTATGTACATCGACTGATATCCGTCAAGGATATTCAGTCTCTCCATACGTGTCCAATTTTGTCACACACGTTCTTATGAAGGTCTCCCTGTTATCATCTGACTACAAAGGAGAATTTTCGGAAGACCTAGAGAATACGCAGATGACACAGTCCTGTTAGGTTAACAGGCTAACAGGATGCAAAGTCTTTTGGACACCTTGAGTGGCAATTTGAAAATGTCTGGGATGTGCTTGTCGTTACCCAAATGCTAATTTCCGATCCAAGACTGGTGATCAGTGGTGCCCCGGTTGATAATACGTAGTGAAATAGTTGAGTGTGTTGACCACTTCACTCACCTGAGAAGTTGGATCAGCCCTGGTGCGTTGGTCAGTGACCGACAAAATCCTTACACAAATACAAAAATCTCGATCGACTATCGCCAACTTACACCACCTATGGCACCGCCGAGACATCCGACTGTCAATTAATGGTCGAGTCTACTGTTCTGTAGTCCGATTTGTTCTACTGTATGGCTGTGAAATATAATCATTAAATAGTGAGGACATAAGAAAACTTCATAGCATAGACCGTGAGTCATGGTGCAGGAGAGGAAAGTCAGTCGATGAGGTTGTCAACCTTCATCAATTCATATGGCTAGGCACATGTATTAAGCATCTGCAGTCACTGTCTATCTTGTCACGTGATATCACCTTAAGTAGGTCCAGACTGTATAAAGACTAAAGGGGGGCCTTATTCAAATATGGTATGACTACATGAAGTCATTGACCATTGATCTGAGCTATATCAAGAGATGCAGACTAGTCGGTTAAGATCCATGTGACAAGAGAAACCAGTGGTTGGAGACTCTAAGTGAAGATATGGCTCAGAATCGATGTCACACCTAATAGCTTTACTGAATTCAGTATTTCTTCATTCACACTTTCTCTCTTTTACTACTTTCTCGTTTGATGTGCTAACAATGAAGTGTGCCAACTTGAACTGTTATGTAGTAATGCCTGAAGTTCTATGTTGATGTTGATAAGGGGTAGGCTGAGATTGAGTATTGATATCAATCGAGTAATTGTAGGAAAATCACTATCATGAATTGTAATTTCTGACAATAATATGACCGATGAAATATACTGCAGAACAATATTCATGAATTTCTACAGTAGATATCAACTTTTTTCAAGTCACACAGTCAGATAGATAGCCAGATAATCCGGATAGTTCAGTTCTTCAGCGAGAAATAAATGTATCTAGACATACTGTTGATGATCACTACTTATTGATATGCTTGTAATTCTGCGTTGTTCCTTTGGATCGAAATGTTCGACTTGTATTGGTACATGAGTTCCTATGAGGACGCCTCGATATTGCCTGAATGTGAATTATGATGATTTTGCTTGGTTATTGTCAATCAGAAGAATCCAGGATGCGCGTTTCGTCCTATTTGCGACTCATCAGCTGGATGTACGTGCACCCCAGTGCCAAGTGATATTATTCCTACTGAGACCTGAACCTCATACCCATCACTTCACGGAGGCACGGTAGCCACTTCTTGTACAACAGGTAGCAGTTATTACTATTTATTGATTTACTTGTAATAACTACTACCCGCTGTAAAAGAAGTGGCTTTCGTCCCTCTATGGCATAGTGGATAACGCCTTGCCGTTTGAAGCTATGGGTATGAGGTTCGGGTTTCAGTGGGAACAACATTCGCCACTGGGGTGCAGGTACATGCAGCTGGTGAGTCGCAAATAGGATGAAACGCGCATCCTGGATTCTTTTGCTTAGCACAACCACGCAAAATTGTACTGCTGATGATACTGAATCCGAAAGAGCTTAAAACAAATAGCTATTCCACCATGTTCAGATAACCTATGATACAGCTTTCATAGGCTTCAACACGATCTGTTTACTGATTCTACTTTATCAATCAGTTAATATCTTGATTCAAAGGCTATCTTTAATTAACAATATGACGAATTAGAGGTAGTATTCATCATGGACTGACATCAGTTGGGGAACCATTGAAAATCTTGGATCAGTGGACACCTGTTTTGTCCTACTATAGGACTCCTCAGCAGTATGTACACACGACCCGGTTAATTATTTCTACCCGATTAGTCATTATTTACTCTAAAATGATGAATACTACTTCTAAATTATAAATCCACATTCATCTCGAAAATACATTACTGTATAGTGCTCCTTAATGACTTACTTCCAGATGGATATCACGAAGTTCTAATGAGAAGCCATGACTTGTAGGGTCAACCGCCAGGAAGTGAAGCGGATGCTAACTGAGGACTTTGGGTGATAGTCGCGCTATATCGTAGATTGACAGAGGTTGGAAATTGTGAACCATTGGAAACCGATCGAGTGGCTGAATAGTTAACGGGTTCGCCGTGAGACTTGAACGTCCTGAGTTCGATCCCTAGTCGGGTCGTGGGCGCGTACTGCTGAAGAGTCCCATACTAGTTGGACGAAACAGCTGTCCAGTGCTCCCATGTTTTTAATGGTTCCCGAACCGATGTCAGTCCACGATGAATACTACTTCTAAATTAAAAATCCCCATTCATCTCAAAAATATGACGAATTACTACGATCTGATCAGCAGTCAGATTTCATAACTTAGTTGCGGTAGAGCACGTGATATGAGGATAGAGAGAAAAGACTAGTCCACAAATGGGCCAATTAAAATGCACGTTACGTGTTATTACGTCTATAGTTAGACAGACGGTAGATCAGCCAATCACTAGGACTATTTTAAACAGTCAACTATCTATATATATTAGAGATATTTTCCTTCGGTTTTGTCTCCGGTCTTTAGACCCCAATACACGTTTCTACAAGACGGTCGTGTCTTCTTCATTAATTAGTCGAGTCAGAAATCAGCTAGGAATTTGTTAAATGTTGATGGCTGACGGCCGATATTTGTACATCGTTAGCTGCCATAGCAGATTTCCAAACCATAACTGCGGTGACGGAAATGGGATATTGGAAAATGGATTCTTCGAAGTTGAACTATTTCCTCGAACAACAAACCAGGATTATCAAGATCATAACAAAATCCAAAATTCCTGGTACTGAATCATCTCTTACTATGCAAGTTTTAATACCTCCTTCAGTTGATGGCACCACTAAATTTCATTACGATTCTGATGCCAGAGACTTTCGGTTTTTGGTTCAGGCGAGACGAAGACTACTTCAGAGTGGATTTTGTTGGCTAAGATGATTCCTGGAAGGTACAACTCCTACTTCGAAAGCTTGTTGCACCTGAGTTCGACCAATACTGCAACATGATTTTGCAGCAGAACCCATATGACTGCACTTTCGACGGCACAGTGCAAACACTGAATGAGATGTCTGCAGAATATCAACGAATGGGTAACCTGTAGCGTGATACGAGTTTAACCCAATCCGGATGCCCTGGGGGTTCTGAAGTACATACAGTTCCCCAGACATCTCGTTCCGAAACATCACCCTCTGGCCACACACCACCTGGCCTGACCTCGCCCGTTACCGGCCCAGTAACTCATTCGATACGAACCGACCCTCGAAGAAGACACTCCCATCACCTTGCTGGCATTGTGATGCCTAGCATTTCGTCAAATCTTGTCCACATAAACAACATCGATGCCAAGACTGTAATGCTGCAGGCCATGTGGATGGTTTTTGCCGACAACACACGCAACGATGTGTTTAAAGGTCATCTTTCATATACCGCCCCAGATCCTATTCTCTATCGGTAGGTAAACCTCGGCTTGATAGCTGTTTTTCATGCTCAAGCCCCTGCCTGTCGACAGAATATCGAGAAGACTACTGATCCCCCAGTAAATAAGGTGGGACTCCCTCTAAGTCAGTTAGATAGATGGAAGAAAAAGATAAAGCGGCCCAGTCTGACCGCAAGTAACACTCTTTCGAAGAGGGAAGTGACAGGGAGAAAGGACCAGTCTGGGAACGGAGAAATCGAAATGTACTTTATGTGATCACGTCTACAGTTAGACAGACAGATAGACGGTGGATTAGACAATCAATAGGATCATGTTAAACAGTCAACTATCTACATATATTAGCTGTTTTTCTATGTTTTGGTCATTCGGTCATTCGACCGAAACACACATTTCCATACGTCTATCGTTTCTTCTCCATTGACTAGTCTCGTCGGGAATCAACTGGGAATTTATTGAATGTTATTGGCTTCCACTTGATATTCGTGTATCACTAATGGCTATAACAGCTTCTGAAACATAACACATCAGATTAGTAACGCTATGGTCGCTGGTTCGAACCCCGGTGTGGCCCATCTTCGATCATCCATCACTTAGTGTTCATAGTACAAGTTTTTCGAGCCACACACAGCTTTTACCTTAAATAGTTATACTGATAATGAAAATAATAACAGAGTTTAATCGATAAAAACTTAAGATTAAGATTTTTCATTGTATAACTGAACAGGATAAATGAATTTGTGAAATAACAATGACTTACATGTATAAAGTAGTTAAATGGAGGCTGATAAGTTAGACCCTCCATAGATTTTCCTCTAAATCTATAAAAAAAAAATAATTTTGAAAGAACAAAATTATTCCATTTTTAAATGTTATACAGAATGGTAATTCCAGCCACATTCAATGTTGAAGAGGTATGAAATGAACAACTTGTTCTCCTCAGCATCATAAACAGGATACTTTAACAAACAGGGAAAGACAAGGCTCTGATCTTCGATACATCTAAATGCATATATCACTTCAAATGTACCTGTGGAAGCAAATATATTGGTCGCATGGAAAGGCGTTTGTCCACTGGAATCGTTAAAGCATCCCGAGAATCTCAATAACGAAACATATAATGGACTATGGATATGCAGAAGCCTGCGCGATTCGAGTTGTCAAACCAAACCTTAGAATTCAGAAGGAAATCATAGTCAGCTTGAATCTGCCATGGTAAGAACTACAACATTGTCTAATCATGTATAGTAATGATGGATAGTGGATAGCAGTGAAATACAGGATACGTATTCCGTCCTATTTGGGACTCATCAGCTGCCTACCTCCAGGTGACTGATGTTGTCCCCACCGGGATTTGGACTCGGAAGCGATCGATTCAAATGCCAGAGCGTTATTCACCAAACCACTGAGCCACGATAGCCACTTCTTGTGTAATGGGTATAATTTTAGTGTTATTGCTTGTATTATACTGTCGTTGATTGGACCGAATTGATCGGTCTCTGTTGTTATTATTATTACTATCCTACCTGAAATCTATTATTATCCAAACTCAATGAATCTATCCCCCAACCCATTTAATTTTGAATATCCATTTCTACCCTTTGTATTACAACTTGACATGTCAGAAGAAACTTGAGTGCAGACAGAGTTGTGAGGGCAGTTGACACTTCCCGGCTGCTCACACAGTGGAAGGCTATTTCTTCTTAAGGTACCTGAAAGAGATTTGTGTGACCGCACAGCCCATCGGACATCTGCTTGAGGCCTGTCACACCCAGCCTTTTGAGTATGATTATTTTGAACTTTTGTATTTTTGGGGCAGGATGGTCGAAAAGAAACGATAAGTGAACCAACACCGCCGGCCTGGCAGATCGTGGGGCGTGGTGGAGTGTGTTATTTTTGGGGCCGACCTTTTCTAACCCCCTCCCCCTTCCACTGAGAAGGCAGGCAGCATCAGCATGGCACTGCTGGTCATCCAAGGGAAACACCTTACTGCTGTCACACCCCATCCAGCTAGGAGCAGTACGACTTCGCCCTCAGATCCCCATCATAGTGTAGCAATTTACACTATAACGGTAACTGCTTTTTGTCTAACCACTATCAAACAGACCTTTCTGGTATGGTAGGACCTCGAGGGAACAAGCATCCCACCAGCATAGCTCGTTGGGTCATTGTGATATGTAAGCCCGACCACCACTTCAAGGTAGCAGCTATCGGTCGACATGTAGAAACTGCTTACTTCTATTATGTTACACCTAAATCTGTCTTAGTCTACGTTATATATGTGTATGTATGTTCTTTTTCATTGTTTAACGGGATATATAATCAAGTATGTAGAGTATCCAGTTGACGAGTACTACTGAAATTTATGAATTCATAAAAATCCTCCTTTTTCCACATATTCATTGCTTGTTGTTTAGTTGCCAAGAATTATAACAAGCTGATGTAACGTTGATAGTTCACAGAATCTCAAGACAATAGTAACATCTAACAATAAGAAATTACAATAATTTATTGATGATGGTAAGAGGCAGCAAAGATAGGATATCCTTCAGGTGGATATAAAGAAGATAGAGGTGATGAAGATACTCAACCAACCAACAACAACAACAACAACAACAACAACAAGCACCAATCACCATCAACGGAAGAAATCTGAAGAAGGTTGTCTCTTTCACCTACTCACCTAGGCAGCATCGTCCCAACTACAGGAGGCGGCACAGGCACAGATAACGATGTCAAAGCCAGAATAAGAAAGATAGCAAGACAGGCCTTCCTTCATTAATCTAAAATTAGTGTGGAGATCTACAGCACTGCGCTCAGCATAGAACGTGAACAAGATCCAGATTTTCAACATCAATATCAAGTCAGTGCTTCTATATGGTTCAGAGACTTCGCACGTTACGTAAAGCATTTCCAACAAACTACAGCATACATCAACAGCTGCCGCCTATGCTCACTCGATACCGAAGATGGAGATCAGATGACCAGAATAATAAGAATAAGCAAGTAGGAATTCTGGCCTGGCAACAAACCGAGAACCCATTGCCCACCAAATATTCAGGAGAAGAAAGTGGAGATGGGTTGGATTGGATATACACTGAGAAGACCGTTTAGAAACATCACGCGTCAGGCCTGATTGTCGAGTGGAACCCAAATGGGAAACGACGAGTTGGGCGTCCGAGATGACGGTGAAATGGAGGAGATGGTGTGAGGAGAAAATGAAAGCTACTGGGAAGTCTTGGAGCCGTGTTAAAAAGACTGGAGAGAAGAAAGTGAAATGGCGACGTGCTACTGAAGCGGTATGTTCCACTAGGAACCCAAAGGACAAATAATGATAATAATACATGATTGTTGGTCTGGGCTGTATAGGAAGATGCAAACTAGCTGGTTGGAGACTAGGTAGATATACGGCTCAGAATCGATGTCAGTGGCACTTTGGCTCGAGGAGGTGGAGGAGGAGAGAGGTTTAAAAACGAAAGTTAGCTGAAACACCTAAACTTTAGAAGACAAAAAGTGAATATATCTGCGTTACTATGACCAGTTTCAAGCCATGTTATCAAGAGTCCTCAACTTTAAACAGGTAGACTACACCTCCCTACACTGTTCAGACAAACAGTCAGAGACCTTATTCACTGGTGTCAGGTGTTGTTTGGTCTGGTCATTCTAAGTTCTCTTCTAATCTAATTCAGCTTTACTAAATGGCAATTATTTTCATCTAAATATTTATTCCTATTAAGAATGAAACCATGTAGAGTACACAAAGATGAACAGATAAATATATATCGAATCTAGAACAGTTGTCACACAGAAATTTATGATAGCATGGGGGAATAAATTGTAAGAGTGTGATGAAAAATGTGTAAACTTTCGAGAAAGACAAAGAATGAATACATTTGCATTACTGTGACTGAATTTAAAGCTATAACAACAAGATGCATCATCATGCACACAAAAACCAAATAGTCTACACTTCCCTATCCAGCTAAAAACCATCAATAACCTGACAGATTGATGCTAAATTTAGCTTCCCATTGACCTGATACTTTTTTAGTTATTATCATGCATCAAGGTAGGTGATTGCTTAGAAAGCACACAGTATGTTCAAGCCAACTTAGTCGTTGAACATTCACAACTTTATAGATGAATTCGTCTAACTTTCTTCATAATCATCATCAAGATCAATATAGGACCATCAGGCATTACTGAGTAACGGTCCAAATTACCACACCATCAAGTAATAGGACAATAAAATGGAAGATGAAGAAGGAAAGAAAACCCGGTCAGAAGTAGAGATAGAAAGTAGTAAAAGAGAGGAAGGGAGAACGAGAACGTGATGAGACTAAGTATAGCACCAATAACATCGATTCTGAGCCTTATCGTCACCTAGAGTCAGTCTCCAACCACTGGCTTCTCTTGTCCCGTGGACCCTAACCGGCTAGTCTGCATCGCCCCACATGACTAAAACCAACAGTTAGAGACTTTATACATTGATGTCATGTTTTAGGCTGGCCGCCCCAAGCCTTTTTCCAGCCTGGACCTACTTCCGCCAAAATTGACTGATGAAGCAAACGGTGGTTAGGTATGTGTAATATGTCCCAGCCAGCCATCTCAGTCAATGAAGGTTCACAACCGTATCAACTGTCTTACCTCTCCTGCCTCCTTATATTTTCTACCTTGGATGGTCATCTTTCATAGCCACAGAGTAGAACAGAACAGACTGCAGCACAGGACACTCAACCCTTGATGGCTAATCGGATATCGTGGCGGCGCCATAGATGGCGTAAGTTAGCAAAAGCCAGCCAAGCTTTCTTTTATCCGTGCAGAAATTTCGTCAGCCACTGACCAACGCACCAGTGCTGCTTTAACTCCACACGCAAATAAGTGTACAACGTGCTCAACCACTTCACTAGTGTTAGTCAGGGTACCGTTGAAGACCAGTCGTGGAGAAACAATTTGTACTTGGGTGAACTCGCCACTCGAAGTGTTGAAGAGGACTCAGCATGTTGTCAGCGTTTTCACCTAACAGTATTATGTCACCCGTGTATTCTAGGTCAACCAAAAGTTCTCCTGTGATTAGGTTAATCCCTGTGTAGTTAAATTTCCAGAAGGAGACCCTCTCAAGGACACTTATGATGAAATCGGATACGAATGAGCATCCTTGACGGACGCTCCACAACGTGCACATTATTATTTGTCCTTTGGGTTCCTAGTGGAACATACCGCTTCAGTAGCACGTCGCCATTTCACTTTCTTCTCTCCAGTCTTTTTAACACGGCTCCAAGACTTCCCAGAAGCTTTCATCTCCTCCTCACACCATCTCCTCCATTTCACCGTCATCTCGGACGCCCAACTCGTCGTTTCCCATTTGGGTTCCACTCGACAATCAGGCCTGACGCGTGATGTTTCTAAACGGTCTTCTCAGTGTATATCCAATCCAACCCATCTCCACTTTCTTCTCCTGAATATTTGGTGGGCAATAGGTTCTCGGTTTGTTGCCAGGCCAGAATTCCTACTTGCTTATTCTTATTATTCTGGTCATCTGATCTCCATCTTCGGTATCGAGTGAGCATAGGCGGCAGCTGTTGATGTATGCTGTAGTTTGTTGGAAATGCTTTACGTAACGTGCGAAGTCTCTGAACCATATAGAAGCACTGACTTGATATTGATGTTGAAAATCTGGATCTTGTTCTCAACGTACACAACTCACCCGATATTTCACCATACGCTTTAACACACCTACAGCTGTTCGAGTAAACAGACTTCAACAGGGTGATGTATTAACTCGGCTTGCATATCACAGTGACTCAACGAGCTACACCAGCTCGAAAGCTTGTTTCCTCATGGTTCCACCACACCAGAACTGTCTGTTGGACACTCGTAACACAAAAAGCAGTTATCATCGTAGTGTAAACTGCTACACTATGCTAGGAGTCTGTGGGTGAAGTCGTACTGCTGACCAGACGGAAGTGTGACAGCAATAAGATATTTCCTTCAAACCACCAGCAGTGTCACGCTGATGTTACGTTTCTTATAAGAAGGAATTAGAAAAGGTCAGCTCCAAAAATATCACACTCCCATCACCCCATGGTATGCCAATGCCTACAACGTAGTCATAGTCAGATTCGAAAGCAAACAACCAAAATCTCAAGCTTGCAAAAAGGCAGAGTGTGACTGACTTCAAGTTCTAAAGTCACATACTATCTTTTCTTTTTTAGGCACCTGGAGAATAACTAACCTTCATGATGTGGGCAGTCAGGCAGTATCAACCGCTCACACACTTCCAGTAGTACACAAGATCCAATCAAACATAACCTATCAACCTAGCAATCTTGTGAACATTCGTGGATTAGTCAATCCCCCAAGCCTATTGTGTGACGGCTGTTCAAAAATAGAATCAGGGTTTAGACGCATGACTTACCGGCTGAAAATCATCTGTCTAAATCAATGGAGCTATACAGCCTCACTGGGATTGTTACCAGGCTTAAAATACAAAAATGGACAAACTATAGAACCTTAAATGGCAATGAGTAAGACTGAAGTGGAGTGAACAATAGTCCTAGAATATTACCAACAGAAATGCAACCAGCTTGAAGAAAATATTAGGTAATTATAATAAAAACTCACGTCTCTAGGATCTTATAATCACTCTCCTGTTTATACAGTGATGTAAGACGAGCTTTCATGATCACAAATATCCGATTCTTTGGTAAATCTATCAAAAACATCACCAACAAAATGTTATTTCAAATGAATAAACCAGTAAAAGTTCCCTATATATGTGAAACTGAATAAAGGTAAACCACAAAGAGAAAAGTTAACTGGTCTTCATTATTCAATGTTTTACCAAAAATATGTTGAAAAAAGGAGGTTGAGCAACTCGATCCAGTGTAGAAACGACAAAACACAAATATCAGTTAACAACAACTGATATCATTCGCATAAGAGGTAGCTCTCATGCACCAGTGATGAGTACTGGGAACATCATCACTTCCTGAGGTGCAGGCACATCCAACTTACGAGTCACAAATAGGAGGAAACATGCATCCTGGATTCCAAAGGTGGTCAACAAGATTAATATAACATCATTCAGTGGGAATCAGTTACATCCAGCTGAGTGAAGCTGTAGCTCAAGGGTTTAGGGAGATGATTGCCGATCAGTGAATTACACGTTCGAACCCCACTCTGCCTGCAGAAGTTTGAGCAGCCAGGTAGTATCAATAATCCTCAAACAATAGGTGTAACTTATTAACCACTACACGAATATGTACAAGGTGGCTGAGTACGTCTCTCCCTCCTTTCTCTCCCTCCTTCTCTCTCAAACATCCAGCTGACGAGTCCCAGATAGGGCGAAACATCCATCCTAGATTTAACTGCTAACCACGAAGTATGGCAATTATTCTCTAGAAGCTTTCAATCCCCTTTGATATCTTGCTGGTTTTTTTTTGAAGTCAACCCAGACAACATGGCATGAAGATGATTTAGTATGGATGCAGAACTACTCAACTATCTTCAATCGATAAAGATTTACACATGTGTCTTTCGGTACCAAGAAATCAACATTAGTAGTGCTTATGTGTAGCGATTTTTCTTCTCTCATATATTTTTGTCTACTCTGACGTCATTTTTCTTTCTATTCACATCTTTGCATACTGCTGTAAGGTGTGGCAACTTTAACTGATGCATTTCCGTGTCAGATTCTAACGTTGATTTGTTTATCTGTCATGGCACTTCAGAAGTTTATTAATGGAGTTCAGGTTCATTAGTTTAGTTAGTCAACTTTTATTCATTGTGTTTCGAGTTCAAATGTCATTCAGCCTATTAAGATATGGGAAGCTAGATAGCATGATAAATTAACGCATCTGGTTGTTCATTGCCTAGTGCACACACACACACACACACATAGGTATGTGTGTCATTGAGTGACTGACTGAATGGTAAAAACAACGTAGAACCTCGCAGAGGTACGCAACCACCCAAGTTGCCACACTTCATAGTAGTACACATACAAAGAGAAAGACTCATCAAAGTAGACGAAGTTGTGTGAAAGAATAAACAACCTGAATATAACGGTCGGTGTAAATATTTAGGCTTTAGAAGACGTCAAAGAGTGAATACATTTGCTCCAGCAAGACCAATTTTCAGGCATATCACCAGGAGTCCTCAACCAGTGATTCCTTTTGTCTCAGATGGTCTACACTTCCCCCACACGGCTCAAACAAAAAATCAGAGACATTATGCACTGGTGGCAGGTCTTATTCTGGTCACTAGGAACTCTCTTTTAATCTAAATCAGCTTTCCCTACCACTGTACATGAATTACTATGCTTAGCACAAGTCCAAGCCACCTCAGTCGACGAACCTTCAGAATCGTATCAATCGACATGCCTGTCTTACCTATTGCTCTTCACCTAACCTCAACATTGCTTACACTGTGATTCCACTAAACACAAGTAGCGTTACCAAGATATCTATGATCAGAACCCTGTAACTCCTTCATATCTATTTTTAATAGCCGTATAACAGGACAGGATAGAACGGAATATGGAGCAGTATACTCGCCCTTTGATAAATAGTCGGATATCTCACAGGTGACGCAAGTTGCTTAGCTCTGCAAAAGAGATGAAAGTGAATAACTAACTTCCTCAATTCAGAATGAACTTTTACATCAGGTAACCTATCATGAAGAATGGGTCTTATCAATACCACCACCTAGATCCTGTTTCTTTGAATAGATGCAGAATTATTTCAACCTACTTTTTACAGTATAAAACTTACGCCGACGCATGATGATAGTCATCAGGCAAGCCAGTGTATAATAAGATTCCTAAGAGTTTCATACTAGTAACAAGATTTGGCAATTTTTAAACATGAAACTGCCTCCACCACTAACCCATATTATCGCTTTGCTAACTTGTTATTCAATAAACGGTGCCTAAGATGGTTGTTTTCCTTAATCATGTAATCTATGAATTTTGTAATTTTATTTACATTGCTGTGACCATCATTTATTAGAGAGTGACCAGAGATACTAACCAACGATCTTTAACTCCCTGGATGAAGATTATGTCCACGCAGCTCAGTAAACTAGAAGCAGCTATTTCAGGACACAAAAATAGTTTGATTAGACTCAGGCCAGAAAGTATGTGATAACCATTCATGCACAATCGATTAGTTCACCTTCTTGTGCACCTCTAATGATAATACCCCGCATGACATTGAAACGTTCGCCGACTAGAACTCTCAACTAAGGAGAACAACTTAATATGAACAATTAAATGTCTACGCAGTTAGAGCGAACGAAAATTTGAAACAGCTACACCTTAAAACTACTACACAAATCAACGAGAAAATGGTATATTAAGATGGATTAAAGGCTGTGAATATACAGGATATAAAACACCCTACTAATATTGTAAAGATTTTTTCTAGATATGAATTGTGAATGTTGCCACGCAACTGAAGATCTGAAAACCTACAAGTTCCAAATATAGCACTGATAAATAGTCAGCGACTCAATACGATGACTCCAAGTACTTCAATAAGCCCAATAAGGCTTTTACGAACCTATTTTAGTTACCATTAGCTGTTGAAATAACTGCTTCATGATCGCTGCTCCCGACTTTGACGTCGTAGGAGGGTTAACATATCACAACGACCCAATGAGCTACACCAGCTGGAACGCTGGTTCCCTCGAGGTTTCACCATACCAGAACGGACTGTTGGATACTGGTAAGACAAAAAGCTGTTACCATTATAATGTAAATTACTACACTATGATAGGGGTCTGTGGGAGAAGTCTTACTGCTGACTGAACCAGGGTGTGGCAGAAGTAAGGTGTTTCCCTCGAATAACCAGCAGTGTCACGCTGATGCTACTTTCCCTATGGAAGGAGGGAGATAGAAAAGGTCGGTATCAAAAATAGCGTACTTTCGTCAATCTGCAGCATACTGATGCCTGTAACAGGAATTCATAGTCAGACTCGAAAGCAAAAAACCAAAATCTCAAACTTGTAATAAGACCATATATGATGGGCCTCAAGCAGATGTTACTCGAGCTCTGCAACTAATCGCCACTAACAGTAACCTTTTTTAAGGCACCTCACAAAGAAATAGCCTTCTACAATGTGAGTGTTTGGAAACTGTCAACCGCCATCACAAACCAGTCAGCACTTAACTTTTTTTTCAGTTTATAATCCACTTTCAACATCTTTGTCTTTTAACCTTTCTTTATGTCTCCTGGTCAATAATTCGTATGTCGTCAGTTTCACAGATATATGGTACGACAGACGGGACTACAGAGCAGTAGACTCGGCCTTTATTAGGCAATCGGATACAAAGGTGGACACAAATGGGACAAGTTGGATACAACCAAACGAACCTTCTATATCAATGTGGGGATTATGTCGGTCACCAAACCATCACGGCTTATGCAACTTCCAAATTAAGTGAAGTGGTCAACTCGATCAAGGCGATAACACAGACCATTTCCCGGCCAACAGTTTGTATTTTGGTGGCGAGAAACGCATCCTAAACACCCTCAAGTTTTCACTCCAGGTGCCAAGTAAACTCCCTATCTTTTCAACATTATCATCTAGCAGGACTAATTCATCTGCGTATTCTGGACATTTCAATCTTAATAATCAAATAGTGAAAGAGAAACTTCTACAGGTACACCAACAACAGATAAAATAAAAATGTAAGTGGACATTCTTGACGGACACCAAGACGTGCACAGGTTACCTGATACTTCACCATGGGTTTCAACAGGCCCACGGGTGTTCGAGTATCCAACCCTTCTATCAATGAGACTGTCGTAAGAACTCTCGATCGACGAAGTTAAATGATTTTACTAGATTAAGAAATAGTGCTAATATCGGGTACCTGCTAAATTAGATCACCTCTAGAGTTGACACGATGTTTACCCAGTAAGTATCAAATTTCGTCGAATAACTGAGCGACAGTACTACTTACAAGAGGCTGTTAGAGTTTTAGCAATAACAATGATATAGTGTTTATCACAACTTCGGAAATCATCCAATAGTTTCGGTAGCAAGCTGAATTTCTCTCATGAACACGACGTCTGCCCTCTGAAACATTTGTGATTTTTGTCCACCATTGACAGTGTTGAACTGCTAAGCACTTACAACTGACCCAGTTGAGTAAATTTAAACCTATGAAGCCGTGCAGATGACTAATATGGCTGGGATTGACTGTAACCGTTTCAGACTTTATCATATGAAACTGTGATCATGTCATGAGACAAGATCAAAGTTTTACCTTACATTATACCTTCCTCTAATAGAAGTACTTGAAAAATTATGAACTACAAAGCTTCGACATGCAAACATTTCGTCGTACGTCACAACAGAACCAGAATATTTATGCTACCCTACTCTCTCTTAATACTGCAACCGCAGCATTGAGAATTTTAACCCATCTTAATTGAAACAAACTATTTCCAACTATTCCAAATGGCAAATGTATCAGGTAACAAATATAACATTGGCTAACCAAAATAATATCGCCTAACTCAGCTATTAACAGTTTACATTTTAAGAAATAAATGCAGCTTACCTAAAATCTTGACATATTCTTTGTCTGGATGCATGCACAGTGCCAGATTGCTGACAAGAGTCCAAGGAGTTGTTGTCCAAGCTATCAATGAAACTTCAGGGTCGCTATCAAGCGGAAAACTAACAACAACTGCAAGATTGAAAATCAAGAATGCACAAATTACTAGCTGGGTCTTGAACATCCTTGTAGTTTTGGCCAGCTTCAAAATTGGAAAGAGGGGTAGAGCACGCAGTAGAAAATGGCATAACTTTGAGGCCACGATAAACCAATCCCTTGTCATATAGCTGCTTGAAAACCCACCAAACTGATTCCATAAACCATGGATACATTGTCCTGTAGTCATTTTTGAAATCTATCCAGCGACCAAGACGGTTTGTTACTTTCTAAACCTAATCTTTAATCATAGAGACCTACCTCCCACTGAGAACTGTAACGCATAACAATAGCTCGACATTTGTCGTTATAACAAGCTACTCCCATTTTTTCCACATCATGAGGACCTGTTATACCAAGCTCTTTATCAACTTCGTATTCCTTCGGAATAAAAATGTAGAAACCAAGTTACCACAGGAAGTCCGTGACAATCCCACCCAAAACGCCGTTCAACATGATGCCCTCTTTGGTGAGCGTAACGAGTAACAATATCTTTTATTGTCCCAGCTAACAAATGACCATAATGCGGGAGGCCTGTAGCGAATGGCGGGCCATCGTAAAATGTGAACCTGAAACACATAGGTTAAGAGTTAAAGCACATAGTGGTATGGTGAATAACTGGAAAGAAATATTACCTAACTAGAGATTAATTGTCTGAATGAACTCAGATGAGTTCAATTGTGTTAATGGCTTACCTCGGTTTCCCAGCTGATTGCCTTAAAGATATTTGAAATGTATCGTGGCTTTCCCAGAAACTAAGAACATTCATTTCCTCCCCTGGTATATCAACTAAAGCTGGCATTTGCAGCTTGGACTTGCGGTGCTCGACATCAGCGTTCTGCTTCCCACCCATCTGAGGTAACATCAGTTGTAAAAGTGGCGGGCTTAACATCCAGTATCCAATATCCAATATCTTTTAACGAGCTACTGTAAACCAATTGATTTCTTCGCGCTCGCTTCTAGGTCTTGCGGAACAGTTCCAGGTCTTTGGTGGGTTCCAATGCAGTAGGTCTACCCAATGGGTTGCTATAGCTCTAATTAGCCAGACGGGTGTTATTTATATTTGTAGGGAGTGTTGTTTGTCTGTTTGTTTTTCTTCCAAGGACTGTGGTGCAGATGGGCTCCTCAAGTGTCGTACCAGCAGACAATTGGTTGGACTGGTTGTAAAAAGGAAATAAAAAGTATGTGCAGTGAAATCGAGGGAAAGAAAGTGCAAAGGAAAAGAAATGGACAAGGAAAAGAAAAAAGGAAGAAAAAGACGATTAGGAAAAACGAAAACTGCACGAAAGGAGAAACATTGGCAGATTTATGTGGGACGGGTGATAGGGAGGGCTTTCGTTGAGGTTTAAAAGCGTAAAGTCAGGAGGAAGAAGGATAAATAACATCATAGGATGAACGGGAATATAGTAATTCTTTTGGTAGGAGACAGCAACTAGAGATGACGTCTATAGGGAGATATAAGGTTGAGCCAAGTTTCCAGTGATAGTGGTGTTACAAAGTATTCGGTAACAGTTGGCCGTACCGAGTTAGTAAGTCGTGTCAGGCTAATCCACATCCCACTTGGATGAGCGCAAACCAACATCGGTAGTGCGAGTAGAGGAAACTTGTAGTTTTTGAGCTTTCACTCCTAGGTTTCGAGACTCGGTTCTTTTTGTTCAGCTGTACTCCTTCGATGGTTGCAGAGGTCTTTGCATCTTCCTGCTTATAGCTTTGGAGGCAGTAATTGTCTAGTTGAAGGTATTTTATTTGAAGATTGTAGCTTGGTTTGCTCTGGGGGACGCTGGACTCGCAGGCCTCGGCTTTTCGGTCCCTCCTGGCATCCCGCTGCTATGTGCGTACAGATAGTTCACCAGCTAGTTCTTTTCTGACTAGTACTGCTTTTAGTGTTCTCGGAGGTGGCCTCCTATCTTCCAGTCTGTCAGCTCGTTGTTTACTCCCACAAAATCATATAACACCTCCCATATGTTCTTTTACACGGTACCATGCTGTGAGAGCTTCTGTTAGTGATGCTTTGCGGTCAAAGCGCGTAGCTAGCAATCTTGGAGAGGAAATGCTACACAAGTGCGTAGGTCTTGGTAACCTATTTACGCCGCTGGCAGGCAAATTTCCAAGTCCCATTTTTGCCGCTAACCATCTCCACTGCTTGATATCATGGGGGTAATTATCACACTTTGTGGATCCACCAACCAGTTCGAGTACTCCATGCACCGCCATGGCTGCAGCTTTGTGCAGCTCACTAAGTGATGACTCTCTCCGCTTTTCTGGTGACCCATGGTTTATCTAGTTTCGCCCTCATGGAGCAGGAGCCTGCAACAGTAGCAGTAGCAGTATGTTCTCACACTATTTCGCTGCTGTTTCTAATATCCTGAGTGATGGTGGCTTGTCTCGTGGTTCTCTACTTCCTCAGGAGAGTTGGCATAAATTGGCTGCGATGGTTTCTGTTCTCAACTTTGTGCAATAGTCGTCCCACTCCCCTTTGTCAGGCTGTTCTCTTTTTTCTAAGAGTGAGTTCGTTGGTATCGGGACGCTAAACGGAATGACGAACTCCGTTCTACTGTCCTGTGATTGCGGAATATTGGGCTTGGTAGCCAGCCATTTCATTCTTTCCTTTACCCTATTAACTTCCATCCATTCGTTCTCAGCGTAACCTATTTCCTCAATTTGTTCAGATCTGCTGGATTGTCTGGGTTGCAGCGATACAAGCGAAGGCGTTTATTGAGCCTCACTTGGAGTGAGGGCCAATTTCTTCCTGTCTCTAGGGATGGCACTTTTGCACACTTGTGGAACTTGACCAGTTTCTGAGGGAAGATTATTGGAGTTCGTGCTATGTGACATGTTTGACTGTACCAGGTTTTCCAGTTTGCCGGTAGTGACAGCAGGTGATTTTCGACACCCTGGGCATATATACCACATCCACTTACATGTGTACTTTCTCATAAAGGCGTAGCACTGCCCTGGTAAACCATTATCACAATTACAGCGCATCCACCTGGGACAAATGTTGCACGCAAAGGCTTTTTGAGCCTCTGACACTGGTTCCTTGCGAACACCACAGTCGTCAGAGGTTTGCTCTTCGTTGATGACTGGGTGGTTTGCTTTCTGTAAGGTGATGTAAAACGTAGCCCGTTTCCCCAGTGCTTTGTTTTTCACCAGCTGTATGGTTGGGGGCTTGCTATTGTCGCCCCGACTGCGGGGGTTTGCCGGTTTTAACAAATGCTGTGCGTGGTATGACAGCGCTAAGGGAATCTTAGACGATGGAGATGTCGCTGCTCCCATCTTCTCTGCACAGATTAGATTCTGTTCACCTGCAGACCTTGTTACACGATTAGTGGATTGTGATCTGGCTTTTTGTACCGTCATGCTTAAGTAGTTTAGGATACAAACAACATAAATAAAGAGGGGAACAAGAGCGTAAGGCAGATATCTTACCAAAAGGAACTTGTTACTCGGTTTCTCGCACTCTATTAGCGACTTTGACCGGATGCTTCAGGTGCATATTAATAGAGCAAGAAAGATGTTTCTTGGTGAATGATCCCGGAAGAGGGCCAAAAACTATAGCAGTTTAGCGGTTAAGTCGACCACGAATCAGCAGCAGGAAGTATTTCCGAGTCAGTAAGATAGTCACTTCTTTGTAAGTGGCAATTCTCAAGTCCGGTTGATTTGCTGAATTGGGTTTACTGTTACTATGTGGTTGAAAGCTGTTTTTTGGTGATAAGCACCGCAGTGTTGCCTCTAGATTGGAGATAAACAAAGCACGACGTTATCCAAACCACGCGCTCAAAGTTGACATCGAGAGCGTACCAACCTGGTAGTTTTTGATCTCTCGCATCTCGTTCTTAGGGCTTGGTTTGAATCATTCAGTTTAGCCCTTCAGTTGATGGGAAAATCTCTTCTGCCCTCTTACTTCTAGCTTCGATGAGGCGAATGTTTTGTGGGTTAGCAAACCGCAATTTGAAGGGTGATTTGGGAGCTATGGTTTGCTGGGACGACTACTGGTATGTCGTGATTCTTGTCTTTGTAGGTACCTGAATAAGACTAGCAAGATAAGGAGGAAACGTTTGTGGAAAATTGAAAGCAGATTGTATGGGTCTAGTTGCTGGAGAGGAGTTAGCGGATAATGTAGGCGCATTACCAAGAGGCAGTGAGTGGTGAGTAGAAGAGTAATGATGGTGAACTAGTGACTTTAGCAACCTTTTGAGTGCGTCCGTGGCAGGCCATGCTAAATGATATGACTGTGTGAACGTCTTACGAATGAGTCTACCGAGGGGACTATGACTGAACCCTGCGGTAGGTCATTTCACAAAGCGCATACCCTGAAGGATAAAAAAATCGGACCTGAGCTTGGTGCCGGCTCTCAGACGTGCTATGCTAACGGGGTTTTTTTCTTGAGGACCTCTATACTACAGGCGAGGCTAGTGTGTTTGCCTGATTTTGCCTGATGGATGATTTTGTAGGCCATACTAACGCATCCCCTCCTTCTGCGATAGCCCAGGGTGAATGGGCTCAAGTGCCTAGGTCTTTCAGAGTATGCCCTCCCTTCAGTCCCACAACTGATTTTGTTGGGGATCCCGGTAGTTTCAAGAAGAGATTGCAGTCTCTCCTGAGTGTTGGGGTGGCACCGTAATGAAGGCTTCTGAGTGCGGCTGTAAGTAGGGTCTGGAAACTATGAAAAACAGTTCGGAGATGATGGTGCTAGGCTGTCTGTGCAGAAAGTTCAAAGTGGAGTTCGCTCTGGCTGTCGTATCTTCGTAGTTGCAGCCGGTGTTCAAGGTGTCGGAGAAGTTGAGCCCTAGATCCTTTTCGGTGGGCACTCTAGTGAGAGCAAACTTGTGGTTTTTGAATTCCCGTCTCTGGGCCTCGGGGCTAGGTCCCTTTTATTTGATTACACTCCCTCAGCGGCACCTAAGTCATTGGCGTTGACCTGGTTATAGGTTTGGGGGTGGTGACTGTCCATTTGAAGGCATTTTTTCAACCTGCATCTCGTTGTATAGGAGGAAGCACTGGAAGTACCGGTAGTATCAGTTATAATTTTGCAATTCTGCTTTTAAGCTCCTTCCGGTAGGTATTAAGCGTTATTTAAAAACCAGTGCCAGAAATAGGGCGACGGGGAATGAAAAACGAGGAGTGGAAAGTGCTGAAGGAACAATAAGTGTTACCACTGGTAATATGGACAAGGAACGGGTCTTATTTCAGATACTGTTGCTTCATGGAAGAATACGAACACTAAGACAAATGAGCAGACTATAAGTCGCCTGGTTTCAAATGTCAGAACTACATTGATGGGAGTGAGGAACTTTATTTAGTTGCGTAGGTGTGCACAGATGGAGAGCGTTGCTCTCATGGAATGGTCACACCTCTCATCTCTAAACAAACTGACCTGAAAAGAATAAATTATTTTTCGTCACTCAGCCTTCAGGAGAACGGACAGCATCTATGGCGAGGTGCTCCTAGTCTACAGGATTCCACTTCGGAGAATAACCACATTTTGAAAGCATCCGGAGAAGTAGAAACTGTAGAATATATGTAAGATTCCCTCCGTTAGCACACCTAACACTCACCTTGTAACTTAACATTTCGTCTTGTTGATGCAAAACATTCTGTCCACTTCCGGTTTCACATTGGTTGGTCGTTTGCCAATGCAAAATCCCACTTTATGCATCGCATTATCTCCTGTTTTTATGCTGTCTGAAGCGGGTGGTTAAATCGTGTTCGGGATGATTAGAAAAGTGATAGTAAATCGGGAATCTTACTCAAGATGTGAAGTTGCACAGTCTGACAAAGTGGTGAGCCTGATGCAAAAAATTTCATAATTTGCACAGGTGCGTAACTAGTGGACACTTCTACCGTTTCTAT